GAATGAACCAGTTTATTCGCACCTATAACTGGTAAACCCCGTACTCAGAAAAAATGGCTCGAACTCGGGAGATTTCCAGGAATCGGATGAAAACAGGAGATTTTAAAAATGTACAATTCGGAACATTTCCGAAACCATAGATCGAAACATGGTAAAGGAAGGCACTGAATACGATTTACACATTGTTAAACATCATATGTTTATAAAATTTATTCAGCGCAGTGCAGTATGCAAACACAAACGATCTTCGTTTAGATACACTGCTCCGCGCCCATATTCACCCGTCGTCCGCGCAGTCTATCCACCCGCGATCACGCTTCAGGCTGTATCTCGGGAAGTATTGGATCGATTTCGACGAGTCAAAAATCATTTTATTGGTGAAATAAAGAGGAATAACTGTTGTTTGAATAATTTTTCTGCATCTCTCTTTGTTTTTCCAGAAGAACATTTATTCACTAAAAGTGGGGACTAATTTGTTTATAACAAATGATTGCGCAACGGGAGGACAAAATGNCGAATGAGAGCTAATCACTTCAATTTGAACGAAAGTTTAGCACGAAAAAAGTACATCAACTCTCCAATGTGTGACTGCAATGCAAATATCAAAGAGACACTCACTCATGTTTTTTGGATCTGCCCAAAATATAAAGAAGAGAGGACTATTTTAGTAAAAGCTTTGAATAACTTAGGAATACACTCATATAATATATACACTCTGATAAAATCACCAAAGGATAAAATTTGTCAACTAATCTACAACTTCCTCAAGAAACTTCAAAAGGAGATTTAATTTGAAGATTATCATCTATGGAATCTTCATTATCATGAACTTCAACTAAGTTCAGCAATGTCCCCCTAGGGGGATAGCAGCCCGTAAAACCTCGAAGTTGGACGGCCAAAAAAAACATAGAACATAGAACTCATGTATTTGTCGTTATTAGTCCATACGCAATACCCCCTTCCCGTGGTCACTAGGAGGTCGATGGAATTTTATCATTGGATTTTATGTTTTCGGGGGTGAGGAATCCGAATATGTTGTTTATTTTGTCCTCCCGTCGCGCAATCATTTGTTATAAACAAATTATTCCCCATTTTTAGTGAATAAATGTTCTTCCGGGAAAACAAAGAGAGATACAGAAAAATTGTTTCAACAAAAGTTATTCCTCTTTCTTTCCCCAATAAAATGATTTTTAACTCGTCGAAATCGGTCCAATACTTCCCGAGATACAAGCTAAAGAGTGAGCGCGGGTGGATAGACTGCGCGGACGACGGGTGAGTATGGGCGCGGAGCAGAGTATCTGAGTGAATATCGTTGGTTTGTACATTCTGTATTGCATTAGAGTACTGCAGAAAGGAATAATATCTGTAATCTGTCGATTATTTCTATTTTCTCTCATACTCGAATGAACCAGTTTATTCGCACCTATAACTGGTAAACCCCGTACTCAGAAAAAATGGCTCGAACTCGGGAGATTTCCAGGAATCGGATGAAAACAGGAGATTTTAAAAATGTACAATTCGGAACATTTCCGAAACCATAGATCGAAACATGGTAAAGGAAGGCACTGAATACGATTTACACATTGTTAAACATCATATGTTTATAAAATTTATTCAGCGCAGTGCAGTATGCAAACACAAACGATCTTCGTTTAGATACACTGCTCCGCGCCCATATTCACCCGTCGTCCGCGCAGTCTATCCACCCGCGATCACGCTTCAGGCTGTATCTCGGGAAGTATTGGATCGATTTCGACGAGTCAAAAATCATTTTATTGGTGAAATAAAGAGGAATAACTGTTGTTTGAATAATTTTTCTGCATCTCTCTTTGTTTTTCCAGAAGAACATTTATTCACTAAAAGTGGGGACTAATTTGTTTATAACAAATGATTGCGCAACGGGAGGACAAAATGAATAACATATTCGGATTCCTCACCCCCAAAAACATAAAATCCAATGATAAAATTCCATCGACCTCTTAGTGACTACGGGAAGGGGGTATTGCGTATGGACTATAATGCGTTATCATGCGTCAGACTGATAATTTCCCTGTAGCCTGTCAATTGTTTTCTACGAATTTGACAGATATTCCTCACATTTTGGTGAGATGTGTCCCGCAACACCAAACACTGCACCCTATCGGCCAAAATCAGAATTGAAGAAATGTCCTCCGAATACCCCTCGACCTTCAAAATTCACCGGATATTTCCCTCAAGTTTTCCTGCATGTCAACGATCGGGATCAGCTTTGCAGTAAAATCCCGAGCGCGTAGCGCGAGGCGGCAAACTGATCCATCTCGTTGCTATGCAACAAAACATTCGGGAAATATCCGATAATTTTGAAGGTCTTGGGGTATTATAGCTGAAAATTCGCTAGATTTTCCTATTGAATTTTTTTATACGTGTTAGCATTGCGCTACTAACCTGAATCGGAAATAATGGGTCAACGGCAATAACGTCATTATTTCCAATTACCCTTTTTTCTTCCAATAGGATTTAAGGAGTTTTTTCCACCAGGGTTGTTGTGAAAGAGATATCCTAAGGTTTTATATCTTTTCCGGGCCTTTTCAATTTGAATATCAATGTGCTTCGAACAACGAGTCAGGTAATCTACGTGTATTCCTAGGTATTTGACTATTTCTTTATTTGGGATTGTTGTTACCTAACTCACGCAACCATTACGGTCGGTATAATATGATATAAAATATGCATACTAAACTGAATAGAAAAGAGAATTAAATTTCACTATTCTAAATTGAAAATTTTCAACACTTTTTTTAAAAACAAACAATTCACAATCGTGTCTCAATTCATGATGATTTTGCTTTGGTTTTTTACCTACACAGAATAATTTGGATTTTTCATAATAAAGAAAATCCCTGTTCGACCGAAGGTTAATATTGCCACTTCATCACAAATGATTTCGAATTTGAATTGAAAATGATAATGTACACCTGGTACTCATTCCCTTAGTAATTGAAAAAACGAAAACACCCGTTCGTTCTTCGAGAGGTTGGTAAATTGACTGTCTTCAAAACTTCTCATCTAAAAATCGCAATTGTGTTTTTTTTACTCGATTCGTGTGTGAACGTGGATAATCCAAATACCAATGATTCTTATGGAGTGAATATACTTTGGAATAAGAACCTAATGGACTTCGACATAATCTCTACCACAATCATATTAAGTTTTAATATTAATGGAAATCCAGGGGAAAAATCTACATCTCGGTTCTACCAATAATTAGTGCAAAAAAATTAATTGTTTATTACTCGTTTTCCGCAGACGCTTAAAATATTAAAAATAGTCCAGGGCCTCCAACTTTTGAGCTACAGAGGTTGTTTTTTGTGGCGGTTAGGCAAAAAGACGTGGAGTATGCGATGCAACGTTGATTTGGTCAATTTTAAATCTTGAGCGGCTCTCCGAATGGACGAGTTGGGATTTGCCTTGAAATACTGTTCAACTTCATCGACCTTCTCCTCTGTTGCAGCAGAGAATGAGGGACCTGGAAGAGTAGCTCTACGATCATCCAAAGTGCCGTATTTCTCGAAATTTTCGATTACTCTAGAAAAAAAATATTATCATGACTAGAAACCAACGGGATTTCTACGAAAATCTGTAATATGTTTTGTTGTGTCACACAATCAATATGAAAAAAAAATTATTCTAACCTCCTCAAAGTGGTTTCGCTAGCAACTCGTTTGGATCCAAATTTAGTACGAAACCCCCTAAAAGCTTCACAGTATTTTTTCCCTCTCGAATAGAAGCACTCGATGAGATATCTTTTTTCTTCCATTGTCAAATCACTCATTACTGCTAACAAACTAAGGCTCCTGCCACAGTTGGAATAAAACTAACTGGCCCCTAGTAAACGTAACACAAACGTAGAGAGTCAAGGTTATTTTGGATGAGCCGGCAGCTGAGTTTAGTTTTCACACATTCCTATGGGACACCCTGTATGTCGTGGAATAATAACTCGTGGTTTAGCAGAATAAAGGTGTTGTATTTAACACGTTAGATGTGTTTACATCAAGTTTGTAAATCGCACTGATACATTTGGTAGGGAGCGTACGGATTTCAATACCTTTTGTTATGGAAGGTTCGAAAATTGTCCAGAAATTTCGTGAGGGACAATATGACGATATACAATATTCGAGATGCGTTATACGAATTTCGAAATAATAATTTGTTTGTGCCCAGTAAACAGCATGTCGCCAATTTTCCGACAAATTGCCGATGTCCTGTTAAATTTTAGATGGCACTGGCAAAAATTGTTTTCTGGATGGCTGGCGCCACATTTTTTTCAAATTGTTCTTGTTTTTTTTTTAATTTTTTGAATGCGTTATGGAGAAATATAGGAGTACATTCTTTTTTCGTTTCCGTCAGAAATTGGGATATTGATTTGAGTAAAATAAGGCTCTGTAAAGGGTTTCCTTCTCCCTTTTACTGGAGTTCACGTGGGCCAGTGGCAGGATGGAAGAAAAACATTTGGTTCTCATGCAACGTTGGATCTAAACATGAACTCATTTCCGTGCATCAAAATAGGTTGAGATTTAATGTCGTGCTTACATCTACATGGAGTTCAAAATATGCATTCATGAAAAATGAAACATACGCCACTATATTTTAGGCTGAGGCGGCCCATACGCTAGTTGGAGAAAAAATCCCAGAGACTTCAAATTTTAATTTGAGAGTCTTGCGGAAGAAATGACAGTCGTCTTCTCGATCCCTTCTTGCACAGGCCCTTGAGAAGACAATACAACTGCTGAATATTCATCTGAAGTCGATGCAGTTGGAGAATTATCATTTCAAGACGACACAGTGGCAGAACTATTTCACATGAACAAAAATTAAATCAATTCCATCAGCAACTACTCCAGATTTTCGTGGCTCCATTCGTATCATCGTTTTTTTTTCAAATAATAAATCTGTTAGAAAATTCGGAACCGATTCAAAATTTCCGGTCATCTCCGGTTTCCTTCGGCTGTCCTCGTCGCAACGAGTCCGAGAGTTATCCATTGACATTTACCATAAATAAATAAGATCACATGAACGAGGAATTCCACAATAATGAATTGACGCCAACAATTCCACCGATTTTACACTATTTTTCCTCAATCATCTTGATGACGTAATAAATGAAGTAATCAAGAGGAGTCACGGATGATTCCGAGATAAGGATAACGTGACGTCGCGTTGGATACCTGCGTGTTTATACAGGACTTGTTTACAATGGTTTCATCAGTAAATAACGATGCTACAATTTTTTAAGAAATCAGGTAAACTTTTTCTACTTATAATCTCCTTTCACTTCCTCTGGGATAATTTCGTGAGCCCCAGATTTATGGAGAATCCTTTCACGTTAAAATTGTCTGGTTTGAGGTTACCCAATGATTAGGATTTATTTTTCTCCTCCACTGATAAGATCTTGAGCAATACGAATAGCAAAATGCAGAATAGCGACTTGCGGATGAAGACAGTTGCAACAATGTTGTTGTCTGATGTGAAAAAAACCTTGCGCCTACTTGAAATCTTCTCCTCCCCAGGATCAAGAGAGAAGCCTCGATCGTCTCCCAGTTCTCCAGCGACCTCGCCAACCCTCGAGAGACCCCTAGGAGGCGATGGGAACCCCTCGAGAGCCCACCCTGTCCCCTCCCACAGTCTCGAAGAGGAGGAGGAGGACGACGAGGAGTCGGTTTCGAGCCTGAAACTCGAGATCTGCACGTCCAGGCTCTCCAAGACCCTCGCCGAGATCCTGAACGACAAAGATGCTCTCGGGTACTTCCTCCAGTTCATGGAGAGCAGGAACAGACTCGCCGTCATCAAGTGCTGGATGGAAGTCGAGTGTTTTCGAGGGACAGAGGACAATTACGATGGATTCAATTCGAATAATCAGGGGGATAATGTAAATAAAAATGATGTTGAGGCACCAAAGAATAGGTTTAGAGCCTGGAGGACCATTGACGAGGAGTCTGGAGGCTCTGGGGTCGTCCAGGATGCTCTCAGAGTCTACAATAAATATATTGTTAAGGATACGTTGAGGATAAATGTGGATTCGGGGTTGAAGAGTCAGATGGAAGAGGCTGTTGGGAGTTCTGATCATCCAGGGCTTATTAAGGGCCTTCTGGAGGTTCAGAAGACCATTTTTCGAGTCCTCAAGGATGAGTGAGTGATCCCCAATGATTATTGGAGGTCTAGGGGCTTTTGGGATTATTGAAATTAACATCTACTGAATTTTTGCTCCCGAATGGAAGCATTGTAATTGTTCACATTAAAGTTTTGGATTTTTTGTGTTATATCGACCCATTAAGTTTTTCTTCAATTGTTTGCTAATGAATGGATGGAATTGAATCTTTTTTCTTCAAATGTAGGTATTGTTGAGCCCTATCGATCGCCATTAATTAAAATGTAATGCATCGATTAGTTTTTTCAATTTTTGAATTTTTTCGAACATCGGCTGTCCCACGATGACTAAAAACAAAATGTTCTGAATTGATTGAATGATGGCTTAAAAAATTTGTTTGGATATCCCTTTGACTGGGAGAGATAGAACAGTAAAAAAGACAATCGGTTGTATAGAAGAAAAGGGATAATGAGAATAATGATGCTTATAACATTCAACCAAGTTGAAAATCTGACAAACTTAGGTAAAAGGAAATCTTATTCAATTTAATAAAATGAAATGAACACTGGATTATACACGATAGAAGGAAATGTTATGCAAAATAACCATTCGGAAGCATATTGCTAATTTATTAGCAAAAATATCTATACTATGTACAATACAAGAGCAATTTCCCACTTGTTTTCAGATTTATCGACGATTTTTTGAGGAGTGAATTCCATTGTAAACATCAGATCGATGTGTTGACGAGTGGAGACGTGAAATTGGCGGATATTTTGTTCAACGAAACTGCTTTTTTCTACTTCATGGAGGTATTCACGTAGCTTCAATGGGGTTTTTCATTTTTGTTGTGGCCTCGGGACTATTTCACTAATTTTTCATTTGATTCCAGTTTATGGAGCTGGAGAACAAGAGAGAATTGCTGGATTTTTGGATGTCAGCAGTGAGTTATAAACAGAACTTGGTGGGGAAGGGGTACTATGATCCTATGGAAGCCCAGAGTGACGCGCTCATCATCTACGAAAAGTAAAAAGACAATTCCTCTACCATCAATTCAGTGTTCACGCAAACAAACCCCAGCCACAACTCTACTTCATCCTCAGTTTTTCCTCAGCATTTCGGCGTCCATGAGAGAGACCAAATTTCTTCTCAGGACATCTTCCGTAACTCTCACTCCCCTCCACGCAAAAAGTCCTCACCAAAATCTCCCATCACCTCCCTTCGATCCCAAGATAGTTGTTAAGGGCAGACTACTATGAGTTTGAAGAGTCGCGGGCTATTGGAATGAGATTATTCATACATTGAAGATCGATTATATATGTCTAAAAACGAATAATTGGTGCAAAAAAAATAATTGTTTATTCTTTGTTTACCCGATCATCAAAAGTTTTTTTTTCATAATTTTTGAAAAAATTTGTGCAATAACAATTACGAATAATTTTTTCGAAATTCAAATTCCTACACAGCCAATTTATTATAATTATTATTATTATTATTGTTTCGTATTATTTTAATTAAAAATTGCACCATTCATGTAAAATAGCCCGAAAAATGTTTCTGAAAGAAGCGAGAATATATTTTAAATATTTTAAGGATAATTTTTTTGCCTATTTTACATGAATCTCGCAATTTTTTATATTAAACAGAACGAAATTAACTGTGTAGGGGTCGAATTTCAAAAAACTAATTCGTAATTGTTACTGTAAACATTTTTTTCAAAAAGTAAAAAAAAAGAAGCCGTTGTAGCTCAAATATTGAAGGCCCTGGACTATTTTCAACATTTTAAGCATCTGCGGTGCAAACGAACAGTAAATAATTAATTGTTTTTGCACTAATTATTTGTTTTGAGATATATAATCGATCTTTAATGCATGAGAAATCTCCAATAGCCCACAACTTTTAAAACTCATAATAGTCTTCCCTTAAAACCAAAAAACCATTAATCAGTTTCAGGGCAAAAAATCACTCCATCACAAAAATCTAAGAATTCCCTCACTTTTTCTCATCAAATTCCCACTGGATTTTCTGCCCCAGGTACTTCAGTCTGCAGGCCACAATGCCCCTGGGTTTCAGCGATAAAATAAGATTCCAAGTCGAGCAGAACATCTGCACAGAGGGTGGAGATGGTCCCCATCCCGACTGCTTCGAAAAGCCCAGTATCATTGTATATAACTTCCTCAGTAAGGTGAGAACAACTGATAATGATTTTTTCCTTCAAAGCTAACACTCTCTTATCACTCTTTTAGCATTATCTCCCAGCGTTCTTATCTTCCCAACTGTATTACAAATATCTCTCCGAGCTGATCAGCACCATTCAGAGCAGCGCCTGCGGACATCCTCGAGTCAAACGTGCAGGTAAATAACCCCCATTCATTTCATTTTATTTCATTTTCATTTCATTTCATACAGACCCAACAACACATTGTCAATTACAGGATTAAATTAAATAAAGTGCAATAATGAAGACCCATATTCGTAATGTGAAATATATCACAATTTCCATTGAATTGTTCAGCACGCAGGAGTCCCTAAAAATTGTGATTGTACAATCAAGAAAAGTATTGAAAAACTGAACATTTTAAAAAAGCGTTTTTAATAAAGATTGAGAAATAAGTCCGATGGAGAGGAAATAATGAATGGATAATTTATCATGATAACTAACAATCTTGTTGCATGGAACTGTAGTCAAAACAAACCAGACGGATTAAGAGAGGAACGATATATTTCTACATAATACCGATACCTTCACTCATGTAGACGTATATAGAGGAAAAAAGTCAAATATAGACCTGGAAATGAGCAGCCCGAGAATAGCAGATATCATAACTGTTAGTGCACTCGATGAAACTTGGGGTTCCGACCACTAAAAACGCAATATATTAGAAAATCATTCAAGATTACTTCAGTTCAAACAAATTGGGACACACTTGACATATTGTAAAATAATTCATTTCCACTGTTTCTCACACCAACATTTGATAATCTTAACCCCATTGAAAAATACAGATTTTACATAGAAAATATTGTTACCAATGTGGCTAAATGCTCTCCGAAGAAAAAAGTAGTATCAGCTAAAATACATAGAAACCCCGTTAAGTAGTGGGACCCAGAGTGTGACAGGGTTAAGAGACTCCGCAGGGCTGGGTACCAAAAGTGGCGATATACCAAGAGACTTAGTGATCTCATAGCCTACAACAAAGCCACCGCCATTGCCAGAAAAACTTTTGAACAAAAGAAGAAACAATGTTTCATTAAGTTGACAGAAAAATTAAACTCCAGGAAAAATATTAAATCTGTCTGGAACACGTGCAAAGTGCTGAAAAATGCCTGGATAAATACAGGATCGCAAAATCCCAGAGATTTTGTTGAGAAACAGGAAAAGCTTTTTCGAGCAATGGAGAAACTAACCCGAGACGGAGATTTCACTAACCCTGCCTACATCCCCCACTGAGATCCAAATCCTTTATTAGACCAGTCTTCCTCCTTCGATGAATTTAATTACGCATTACACTATAGAAACAGTCATTCGGCTCTGGGGATTGATGGTATCGATTACAATCTACTAAAAAAAACTTCCAGTCCAGCTTAAGTTGATCCTCTTAGACATCTTCAATGAAATCCACCAGACTGGAAAGTTTCCTCCAGAATGGAAGAAAACCTTTCTACACTTTATCCCCAAGAGTAACAGTTCTGGAGTCAGACCCATAGCTTTAACATCTTGTATACTTAAATTATACGAATCGATATTGAAAAATAGACTCCAATGGTGGGTGGAACGCAACGGAACCCTTTCCTTCTCCCAAACTGGCTTTAGATCTGGACTGTCTTGTAGGGACAACCTGGTCCACCTCACACTTCAGGTGGAGGACTCTTTTCGAGAACAAGAACAGACGCTAGCCGTCTTCCTGGACGTTACTGGAGCATTCGACAACGTCGACGGGGATAAGCTATTGGATGTCCTCGCCGAGGCCGGGTGCTCTAGTACCGTCCTTAGATTCATCAAATTCCTCACCCATGGAAGGGTTCTCCACTGTGACGCTCTGGGTGACAATACTAGAGTTGTCAGCAGGGGGCTCCCCCAGGATGGCGTACTCTCCCCCCTCCTATACACAATTTATACTAGAAAAATTCTGCACAAAATAAATTCCAGGGTGGAGTCATCACTTTTCGCGGATGACATAGCTCTGTTTATTCGCGTCTCAGATTATGAAACTGACAAAACTATTTTAGAGAAACTAATAGACCAGGTTACAGCTAACCTTAGTACCCTAAGACTGGAAATCGCCCCCGAAAAAATAGTGCTGATGCGATTTAGCAAGAAAGGCTCTTTGGCGGAGACCACCCAGATCAGAATAAAAGACCATACCAGAGTATCTTCTCCGACTGCTAAGTTTTTAGGTATACACATTGACCAAAAATTGAATTTCAACCACCACATATTCATGCTCCAGCAAAGATGTCTAAAAGCATTGAATATTGTAAAGTTTTTACGAAGAACCTGGTGGGGAGCAGACCCTGAAACATTGATCGGACTGTACAAAAGTTACGTCCGATCCATAATGGATTATGGTCAATCCAGTACGCAGCCATCCGCTTCGCTCTGCGATACAGACGCACTACCCCAACCAATGTCTTGATAGGAGAATCCAAGCTTAACCTCATCAAAGACCGTGCCAGCTTCTTATGCAAGACATATTTAGTGAAAATCCTGAGTAACCAGTCCACCCAAGTATATGACTCAATCTCCCTTATTTTCAAAGAAAAGAGAACAAGAATCCTTTGCAGAGACAAACTAATCACCAAGTGCATCAGAGAAATGTTACAATTTGAGAATACCTTGCATACCAATGCTAATTTCAATACTTTCCTCCACTCCTACGACACCTTATATACCTCCATAAAAACAAAAGACGATCTCGGCACAACTCTCCAAATCCTCCCAGCTCCAAATGAAGCTTTAAACCAGGAAATCGCGAGTAATTTTCGAAATTGAAATATTGTCTACACTGACGGCAGCAAAGATCCGAAAGCAGAATACGTGGGAGCAGCCTGTCATTGCCCCAGCCTGGGCATTGACACCTCTGTAATCCCTAACACTGACTGCACCGTTTATACCTCGGAATGCATTGCGCTGAACCCAGCCCTAGACTTGGCCAATAAAAACAGGGAGACCAGTTACCTCGTGCTCTCGGACTCACTTAGCGCTTTACAAAGCCTAGAATCTATTCATTTCCATCCTCATATCAACCCATACATTCTGCTCGCGAAACAAAATACCAAGAATTCATGGAAAATAATCCATTCAACACTCAAATTATCTTTCGTTGGATCCCAGTACATAGGGGGATCGAGGGCAACGAGAGGGCTGACATCTTAACAAAAGATGGTGACGAACAGAATTCTGAACAATTCTCAGTTCCACCCACAGATTTCAAAGCTCGATTCAAACGAGAAAGCTACATTAACACCCGAGAATGCATCCAAGAACAAGCTCTTCATAAAAATAAATCGAAAGGATAGGCCTATTTCAAACACTACTGGAAAAAGAGCTGTCGGCCCTGGTACTTCAGAAGTAGGCTCTCTAGGGAACTTGTGGTCTGGGCTAATAGGGCTCGGGCAGATCACTATCACCTAAACAAATCCCTGTATCGCATAGGTATTGTTAACACTGAGGAGTGCAGATGTGGAGCTCCGATACAGGACATTATCCATGTCATATGGGAATGTCCTGAGTATTCTAGTCAAGATAGGCATGTAATGAATGAAAAATTGATGAAACATAAGTGTCCTAGGTCTTATACCATAGCTGCATTCTTGGTGGCAAAAAACTTTGAACCACTGCGAATAATACACCAGTTTCTTAAAAAACGTAAAATTAGAATTTAAAATACGCAATAATCAATGTATCTCAAGATGGACCACAAACTAAGCTACATAGATTTATTATATTACAATATGTACCTATTTGATTGTAAATAACCCACTGTAGGTTAATACATAAATAAAACAACAACAAAAAAACCATCTGACAGCCATTAGATACATCAAATTATTAATTTGCAATTCCCTCCCTATTGGCTTTATTTCCGAAGATAATTCAAAAACGCTTTTTGAAAATGTTCAGCTTTTTTCAACGTTTTTTTTATTGTACAATCATCATTTTTTATTTAGGGGCTCCAGGGCTATGTAAAACTGAATAGCAATGGGAGATCGTTTTAAATTATCAAAATAAAAAAAAACAACCAAGATCACGTCTGAAAGATAATCCACCCGGGCCTCAAATTAATAAAACGAACAGTTCAAAATAATACTCATGACGACAAGGATTTTTCATATTGCTTATATTATAAAATTAATAGACAACCTAATCTATCCAAATGTCTTGATAATATACATAGGGGGAGAGTCGAGCAAAATGAAACAGTCAACAAACGACTGTTTGACGCAATTCAAGCAAAAAAAAATTTATCTTATTTTAAATCATTTTATATTTTTAATTTTTTTTATTAACTTCTTTTATGATTGGGAGTACTGATGAGAATAATAATTTTCCATTCGATAGAATGAAAAATTATTGAGAAGTTTTGATGGGTGAAGATTTTGTCAGTGAACTAATTGAAAAGAAAATGAAACAGCATATTCCAAATTCCAGAGGTAGGTCCAGAGGGGGAAAAAGGAAAATGTGATGCTGAATTTCAATCGAATGAAAAAAGAAAAGTGTAATCGCCCTAATCTAATCATTTGAATTATTGATGAAATCAATATTTCATAAATATTTAATGATGATATTTTTATCATGGGGTTTAGGGTCAGACTGCAGCAGTGAAGTCAGCACTTTGAGCATTGGAACACACGACACGTCTCAGAATTCACACTCTGATGAGATTAATCAGCATTCGAACAGACAGAAGATGAATGGGAGTATGAGTATTGATGCTAGACAATTGTATGATCCCGATTCTTTGTGGAGACGTACTAAATGCAAGTAAGAAAACTAAATCGCTTTGTTTTTGCTTTTCGAGAAGTGTCAATTTTACTTTAGAATTAGATTTGAGAAATATCTTAGAATTGAAGGGCGATAAAAAAATTGGTCTGAAGAACTTTTTTTTTATAACGAAAATCGAGAGTTACAAAAGAGATTCTTACAGAAATTTTTCTATTTCTTGTGGATTTGCAATATTTATAAAAAACGAGCGCTCAACTTTACTTGAATCATCACCTTATGACTTCAATATTAAATCATTCTACCACATTCTGATCTTCAATTTTTTTTTAGTCTAAGTGTTGGATACGTCGACAGTTTGGGAAGATTCGTAACAGAGATTGATCCAGATCCGCAAAGAAAATACGGTAAACAATTGAATAAAGAAGAAAAAACGAAAATTGATTTTCTTCCCAATCAATTCAGAAAATCTAAATATTTTTGAAATCGCCAATTAATCAATTAATTCATTCTTCAATTAATTGTCTTCAGAGTCAAGATTATCGAGAGCAGTGAAGAGATTCATACACCTAGAGCAGGATAAGGTAAAAAATTGAACAGAAAAATCCTCTAAATGAAGAAAAAAAATAATAGTCTTGTATTCATGAATGAAATTGTCCTCAGGCTAAAGAAGAGCTAGCATGGAAAATAGCTGAGATGATAGTCCGAGAGATCACCTCCCTGACCCTAGGAGTGCAGGAGTTACGTTCCTAACTAATTAAAAATTACCTAGAATTTATTCGTTCGTCTGCCTACATTGAGAATGCAATTCTCGTGCCAAAATTACGAAAGCTGTTATTTTCAATCAGCAAGAGTATTTTTTTAATTACTTACACACGCGATTCGAATTTCATCCTCAGTCGGAGCTTTTCAAGTGATTTAAAAAAAAAAATGATAATCAAATCGTGAAGAGAATTTTTATAAGATATTTTTCCTACTTAAGTGAGATTATTACATAGTATTTTTAACGTTTAAGTGTTGATTGCTATAATTTTCCTAGTTCGTGTGGTGCTGAATTGTTGGGCACTGATTCAACAACGATTTGGTGAAAATTTCTTCCGATTGCGAAATGTCTTCAGGCCATGACAGTGTTCTCTTCGATGTTTTCGGAACATTTCTGTTTTAGGACTTTGGTTTTCGTGAAAAATGTACGGAAAAGTAGTGTTCTGTGACTGTACATAATAGACATGCATAATCTTTGTTCATGATATGATAACTGAGTAAATAAAAGATAATTTTTCACAATGGAGGTGGAATATAATTATCATTCTGTATAATAACAATTACGAATTAGGTAAAAAATTGCACCATTCATGTAAAAAAAATAACGCAGTCCAATAAAGGTTTTTGAAAGAATCGAAAATATATTTTAAATATTATGAGAATATTTTTATTGCCTACTTTACATGAATGGCGCAAATTTTTATGTTAAACAAATCGAAATTAGCTGTGTAGGGGTCGAATTTCAAAAAACTAATTCGTAATTATTATTGTACATATTTTTTCAAAAATTTTGAAATAAAGAAAAACCTCTGTAGCTCTAAAATTGGAGGCCCTGGACTATTTTTAACATTTTAAGCGTGTGCGGGGCAATGAACAATGAGCAATTAATTTTTTGCACTAGTTATTCGTTTTTAGACATGTAATCAATCTTCAATTCATGAGAAATCTCCTGTTAAACAAAATTTTGGAGAATCTTTTTTGCACTAGGAGTAACCCTTGATGGTTTGGATATTATGGAAAGAATTGTTAATTCTCTATCATATATACATTTTATTGAATATTTTTCAGATTTAACTTAGAAGATTTACCATCACAACTATCAATTTCTCGAGCGAAAATGAATTAATCCTGACCCGCCAAGAACTTCGACATGAAGTCAGTGGGTTTCTTCTCAACTGTGTCTTTATAAAGGTACATGAACGTTCCCGAGTTCTTCCATTTCTGGGCTGTTTCCTGGAGCTCCATTTGACCCTAAAATCAAGAAATATCATATTTAATTTAATAATTAAACGAGTCAAGTTAATTATTCAATCATAGAGACATGCATAACATTGAATTATATGCATTTATTCACATAAATGTCAAGTTTCTACATAACTTCAAGAACCCAATTGACTGTCATCAATTACAATTAGTCGATTCATTAATTCAAAAAAAGTAGATGCAATAAGTATTTTTTAAATATTCCACAACTCGAGATTGGCAGAGTCAATCCGATCTTTTTTTTCTCATTTCAAAGATATTGTTTCAGAGTTTAAAATGAAATTTGATTTATTGAAATCGCACCATTGGGTCGAGAGATATTGATAAGTTGAAAAAATCCATTTTTACAAACTAAAGAAAAAATTGAAGATAAAAAATAATTTCACAAAAACCGAAACGTAAATTGTTTCTTCACCTTGACGACTAGAAGATCAATGATACGTATATCCTTGACATCCTTATGCTTCATAAACTCCTCTCGCAGCTTCTGTCTCATATCATTCTCTGTCTTGGGAATATCAAACTCCAGATCTAAAACAATTCCCAATATTTATGTAATCCATCATAACAAAGCCAGCCACAACAAAATCGCCCATAAATGCAACAAAAAAGCCCAACCGTATTGAATCTATTAGTCCCAAAAATCAATAAAAAATAATAAAAAAATCAACTAAACAAAAATAACAACAGTTTTTAGAATTGAAAAAGTCGCAAATGTCACAAAAATACTCAAAAGTGGTTGAAGGTTAGATTGACTTCTGGGCATTCAAATTAATTTCTTTGAAAAATTGTCAAGATCATGAAACTCACTGATATATGGAATTTGTCTGTACCATGCCCTGTACAAATTAATAACCCTCCTATGAGCTTCTTTATTATTCCTCGACAAAAGTGGTTGAACCTGACGAACAGCAGCTTTCGCAGGCGTCGCCATTTTTCTTCTAGACTAGACTACCGATGGTCGATATGACATCGATTGCAACGATCGATACTCCCCCCCCCTCCTAATCGATATTAATTCATCAATTAATTTTTGTGATTTGCGAAATTTTCAACTAGAAACAATTTTGACATTTCATAAATTATCAATAATTTCATTTTGATGTTTTCAATCAAGTATAATACCGATGATCGATATGACATCGATTGCAACGATCGATACTCGCCCCGCCTACTCGATATTAATTAATCGACTAATTTTTGTGAAATTAATTTTTGTGATTTGTGAAATTTTTAACCTGAATCGACTTTGACATTTTATAAATTAACGATAACTTTATTTCGATGTTTTCAATCAAGTATAATATTTTAGCCGCGATATATCGATCCGAGATTCTTCATTCGATTTGACTCGATACTCGTTTCAAATCGATCATTTCTGCAAAAAAAACACCCGTTAAATGGTCGATAAGGCAGCGACTCGCCGGTTGTTTATCCGAAAAAATAGGAAAACTCAGCTCCAAAAATTCGATTTGTTTACATGCGTGAGTGTCGGAGCAACCCACCAACAAAGTAAATAAAATTGATTAAGGTGTTATTGATAATCCTCAACTGTTTAATTTGGTTTGTGTTTTACTGAGCTTCATTTGTTTAATTAACTATGAACCCTTCAGAGCCACGTAACACTGAAACTCTGAGGTAAATAGACCCCCTGACCCTAACCTGAATCACCTGAAAGGCTTGCAGGAGCTCCTGAAGCTCATTCTCATCCCCTGGAGCAATAACTTTTCATTTATTCCTCATTATAATTCATTCGCTGGCAAAAATGCCCCTTCTTAAACAGAATATTCGAGTCTTTCGTCATTTGTCTGCATTTGTTATCAACAATCGTATCTAAACGATAAAAAAAAATAATACAGGAAGTCAGGAAGAAGTTGAAAATATTTTTAGTGAAGTGATTCTACTATTGGTTTCCTCATTTACGTGGAAATAACTGTGATACGTCATTTAATCCTGATGAAGAGGCTCATAAACTAATTAAGCCTCACCATAATGCTTACACTTTTTATAATAATTATGAGGCACCAGTGATGGAGAATTACGTAAAAAAATATTGCAAATAAATTTCTTTCCATTGTAATTCCTAATTTTTTTCAAGAAAATTTTTTTTTTTAATTTTAATTTCGTAATTCCTTATTTTGTTTTCTATCAGGATGACATATTTTAGATTGGTTTTCTAGAATTAAAAAACGTAATTTTTTTTCTATTTGCTTTTACCAACATTATTCTCCTTCTTTATTTTTAGAAACTGGGAATTGAATTTTCTGAAGAGTTTTAAGGAGCTCCTGAAACCCATTCCCATCCCCTGGAGCAATAACTTTTCATTTATTCCTCATTATAATTCATTCGCTGGCATAAATACCCCTTCTTAAACAGAATATTCGAGTCTTTTGCCATTTGTCTGCATTTGTTATCAACAATCGTATCTAAACGATAAACAATAATATAGGAGTCAGGAAGAAGTTGAAAATATTTTTTGTGAAGTGATTCTACTATTGATTTCCTCATTTACGTGGAAATAACCGGCAGAAGTTGATACGTCGTTTAATCCTGACGAAAAAGCTCATAAACTAATTAAGCCTTGCCATAATGTTTACACTTTTTATAATAATTATTAGGCATCAGTGATGGAGAATTAAGTAAAAAAATATTGCAAATAAATGTCTTTTTGTTTCCATTGTAATTCCTAATTTTTTTCAAGAAAAAATTTAAAAAAAATTTTAATTTTATAATTGATTTTATTTTCTATCAGGATGACACATTTTAGATTGGTTTTCTAGAATTAAATAACGTAATTTTTTTTTCTATTTGATTTTATCAACATTATTCTCCTTCTTTATTTTTAGAAACTGGGAATCGAATTATCTGAAGAGTTTTAAGGAGCTCCTGAAACCCAATCCCATCCCCTGGAGCAATAACTTTTCATTTATTCGTCGTTATAATTCATTCGCTGGCATGCATACCCCTTCTTAAACAGAGCATCTGAATCTTTCATCATTTAACTGCATTCCTTATCAACAAACTTATCTGCACGATAAAAAATAAATGAGGAAGTCAGGAAGAAGTTGAAAATATTTTTTGTGAAGTGATTCTACTATTGATTTCCTCATTTACGTGGAAATAACCGGGAGAAGGTGACGCGTCATTTAATCCTGACGAAAAAGCGCATGAACTAATTAAGCCTTGCCATAATGTTTACACTTTTTTATAATAATTATAAGGCATCAGTGATGGAGAATTAATTTCTAAAATGTTGCAAATAATTTTCTCTTTATTTGAATTCGAATTTTTATTTTTTATCCCATTTAATCCTCAGGATTATTTTCCCCAGGAAATTGAAACAAAAATTTTTTAACCACAATTAATATTTTCAAGATGTATTTTCCAAGATTGAATGACCTGGAATCGTTTATTTTTCATTTTATCCACATGATTCACCTTCTTCGTTCATTTTAACTATAATTGATGATATTTATCAGTTCAAAAATGATGGATGTTATTGATGTCCTGGCAATGCAAAGAGAAAAGAGGAGCACCCTCCAGAAAAGCATAACAATGGATTACACGAGTTCAAACGACAGTTTCACTGTTGCCAGATTTATATTCGAATGTGGTGAGTACGTCTATAAAATTGAAATTATCAATATAAAAACACGAATCAATGTTTTTGGTATTTTTCACTTGAATTATTTCCCTTTGTTTTTTGCTTTCAGGAATAAAACTGGAAGCACATCCTCTGACAGTTGCAACAGCAGCTACTTTGTACCACAGATTCATGAGGGAAGCCACACCAAAAGCTTACGACCATTACGTAAGACAATTCAGTTTATTCAGTTTATTCTGGAATTAATTTATCAACTAGTGTTTGATATTTCCTTTCTTCCGTCTGCTCAGATTATTTTTGAATTTCCTCTGGCATTTCCATGGCTTTCGGCGATGATGAATATTTGTTTTTGTGGTTTACAGCTGATAGCAGCCACATGCCTGTATCTCGCAGCTAAAATTAAGGACGACCACCTGAAGATCAGAGACGTGATGAATGTAGCATCGAATACTCTCCATCGAGGGTCACAGCCCCTGGAGCTTGGGGATCAATACTGGAGTATTAGAGACGCAATTGTTCAGGCCGAGCTGCTCATCATGAGGATGTTGAAGTTCCAAGTGAATCCTATTCATCCTCACAAGGTGAATGCACCGGAGAGTCTTGACTGTGGTTCTCCCCTGTGTAGGCGAAAGAACCGCACTCCGGACAATTACGAAAATTCGCCACCCAGACAATCCTCTCCACAATCCCTCGAGAATCTTAGTTTACGAACGCCCAGAAATAGAACCCATCACTCACAGATTCAACAAACTGACAACGAGTTTTGCCCTTGATAAGCTGGATAATATTCTCGACGTCTGTCACAAGCGCAACCCCGACGTCAGATCTCGTTACAAATACTCCCGCACACCTTTCTTGAAAATCTCAAGCCCATCAGAATTGAGACGTACGGCTCTGACTCCTGGGGAGGCTCAGATCACCTCCAACAATCACTCTCAATATTCTGTACCTCCTCACCCATCACTGCATCTTTTTTTTCTCATGCTGTACCATTCTCACATCATTCCTCGTCTTGTGAAGTTCGTCTTTATTCTTTCTACCTACATTATGAAAGATTATAACTTAATATTTATGTTCTTCTTGTGAATAATCATTTCTGCACTGTATACTGAATGTTAATGCTTGGCTGGAGGCCCTCGGGCCATGTTCTTTCACGAACTTGCAACGCATTTCGTTGGAAATAAAAATAATACCCTCTTTTCTCTCGAATTCTCACACCATATGGTTCTATTCATCAGCAAGGTCTTCAGGTTCTCGCACTCATCGACGTATTCACGATGATTTGAACGCATGTATGATGTAATAATGACGAAATTCTCCTGAGGAACTCGAGAAGAACAGAAGAAATTTCGAAGGATTGTACGATTTATGAAGGAAAATCGATTGATCAATCTGAGATAATTGTTTGAAATTGTTAATTAATTTCATGTTGATGAGGTTTATCATTAATTATCAAGATGATTGCTTACTCATTGATGACGTCAGTTTCATGCACTTGGCAACTTTACTCCCCTTTGTGATACTATTAAAATCTTTTTCATTATAAATTTGAAATAATCGATTATCCATTGTAAATATCTGCACGTAAAATTAATTATATTTTTATTCCTGTTGCAGTACCTGCTGCACTATTTGAGATCTCTCCAAGCTTGGTTCGGTGAGGATGAGTGGTCCAAATACCCTGTTGCCAAAACCAGCATGGCTCTGCTCCAGGATTTCCACCACATTCCAGCAATCCTCGATTACCCACCGAATTTAATAGCAATTGCCTGCATTAATTTAACTCTACAGATTTATGGAGTTGTTGTACCACTCATGGACGAGTGTGATCAGTTACCATGGTTCAATGTAAGTCAAAAAGCTCCTTAACCACCCTAATTAATTCAGAAATGAAGTGCTAAAACAAGAAAATACAATTCCACCGAAATTACAGATCAGTTTTCGCTGAATATCTCCTAATCTGCGCTAGGTAGTGAGTTTTTCATGAGAACACTTTGTATAGCTCTCACTTCGCTCCACAAAAAAGGTTCTTATACAAATTCTCCCATCTCCATAGATCCTGAGGTATTCCCAAAAAACTGATCTTCAAACTGACTCAATTGATAATAATTCACAAAATAAAATTCTCCAGGTGTTTTGCAAGGAACTTACACGAGAAAAATTATGGGAAATCATGGAGAAGATAATGAGTTCTTACGACCAGGAGCCAGAGACTCGCGACGCCCTATGAACCCCAATGAAAAATTATTTAAGACTGAAAAACGTCTGAATTTTACGAATTTACGAGTTGAAAACGTCTCAAGCACAATTTTGATATCAACTAATCAATAAAGAAAGCATCAATGTGTCATCTTCACCAACTCTTCATAATGATTTTTTTATTTCAACTGTACAAACTTCACAAAGTAGTAGACTCCATCCATTATCGTTAAGTAGATCCCCGAAATAATCTCCATTATCCACTGACTAATAATTAAATTCCACAAAAAAATATCTGACAAGAAGAAACAATAATTACATTAACAAGCCTTCTCCTAATTACGTGCCAATAATTAGTCGAATGACCTTTGAACTCTCGGACAGACAAAATAAATACATAAATATAGTCATATTTAGATCTGCAAGGAACTAATACTTTCGATTCAGTAATCAATAAATACTGGAAAACTTATTTATCCCAGAGTCTGGGGCTGCCCCATCAGCTTCACCTTTCGATTTGCCTCTCTCTTATTTTAATTGTTAGATTCTCTTAGAAACGACAAATTAATCAGATGCATTTCTCACGTTCAAGCGACAGATCCTTGAGACTCTTTTGTGTCAATTATAAATTATTTGGATGCAAAATTGCTGATGAGGTTTGGGAAAATGCCGTGCACCCGTTGTTGGTTCAGGATTACTAGAAGCACATGTAGATGAAGATCAGGATGCCATTGATGACGCCTATCAGGTAGTTCATCTGAAGTCTGGACTCGTCGCGGAACCTGAAATTTGTAAACAAAACATCTCTTTAATTGATGGATTAATCAGTCAAGTTCATTGATTTTGAAGCATGAAAATTTGGTGGGGAGTGGAAAAATGTAATTATCTTGTGAACGAGTAGTTTTAGGAGGAAATGTTAGAAAACATTTTTTGTAAATGAGGAAATTGTCTGCAAAACATTTCTTCTGACATTTTTGGCGAGAATCAAAGGATATTGAGATAACTGCGGTCTTGGGAATTGAAAAATATATTTTTTTGATTAATTTTCGAAAGGACGAAGTGGAACAAATGTTCTGCTATCTTAAAAATTCCCAAACCTCTGCATAATAATCCCTCAAAGTTTAGCATTCACATGAACAACAATTGTCATCAGACATAATAACATAGCAATAAATAAGCAACATTTTTAATCCCTAAATCTAAAAAAATCAACAACACCAACAGTCCTATTAATCAGACGTGAACTGGAAAAACGTAATCATCTTCAGTGATTTACAACAGTGATTTTAGAAAGAAATATTAGTAGACATTTTTGTAGCTGAGAAAATCCCCTACAAAAAATGTCTTTTGACATTTTTGTTAAGAATAACAGAATATTGAGATAATTGTGTTCTTGGAAATTGAAAACTCATTTTTATTGTTTAATTTTCAAAAGGAAATTTTTTTTCGTTCTGTTGTCTAAGTAAATTACCTCTGCATAATAAAAACATACATCATCTGTTGCATCTGCATGGTCAACTTTGAAAGTTTACCATTCAGGTGAAAAACAATCGTCATCAGACATAACAACATAACAATAAGTAAGCAACATTTTTAATCCCCAGACCTTAAAAAATCAACAACACCAACAGCCCCATTAATTAGACGTAAAAACGTAATCATCTTGAGAAACAGTGATTTTAGGAGGAAATAGTAGCTGAGGAAATTCCCTACAAAAAATTTCTCCAGACATTTTTAGCGAGAACAGCAGGATATTGAGATAATTGTGTCCTTGGGAATTGAAAAATATTTTTTTTTGTTTAATTTTCAAAAAGAAAAAGTGGAAAAAATTTCGTTCTACTCTCTACAAAAATCCCTAAATCTCTGCGTAATAATCCCTGAAAGTTTGGCATTCAGATGAAAAACAATCATCATACATAAATAAGCAAAATTTTTAATCCCCAAATCTAAAAAAATCAACAACACCAACAGTCCCATTAATCAGACGTGAAGTGGAAAAACGTAATCATCTTCAGAAACTGATTTTGGGAGAAAATATTAGTAGACATTTTTTGTGGCTGAGGAAATTCCCTGTCTCCTGACATTTTTGTTAAGAATAACAGAATATTGAGATAACTGCGTTCTTGGAAATTGAAAACTAATTTTTTTGTTTAATTTTCAAAAGGAAAAAGTGGAAAAAATCGTTCTGCTCTCTAAAAAAATCCCTAAGCCTCTGCGTAATAATCCCTGAAAGTTTAGCATTTAGATGAAAAATAATCGTCATCATAAATAAATAAGCAACATTTTTAATCCCGAAACCTAGAAAAATCAACAACACCAACAGTTTCATCTCCGAAAGTCACTTACTTCCTTTTACCAGGACTAAAGGGTGACGGTGGATTGACACCAGGTATCCTGCTGTCCTTGTAAACAATAAACCAAGTGAACCCCATCAACGAGAGTCCACTGATAGCTGCCTTGATAAACCATCCGAATTTCCCGATAAACTGAGCGACAGTGTCGATTAGTGTCCCTTTGAACTCTCTCGTGGCATTGAATAAATAATTGTCTTTGTCAAACACTGGAATGAACCCCCCAAGCAGGGACTGACTGGGGGTTTTAACGAGGTCGTACGTTTTTGTGGGTAGGAGGATCCCTGGGGACAAAAATTAGTGAGACATTTTTTTTAGACTTTGTTTGTTTGGGATTTTTTCATGCACTTGCAATGAAAATTATTCTAATTCTTGAGGGCAACAGGCGAAATTCAATTGAGGGATATTCTGGGAATAGTTTAATATGGAAGGAATTATTAAGTAATTTTTAATTGAAAAAAATTGGAGTCACTACTTGAGAGGGATTCAATCGTTTTGTGAATCTCAGGCAGCGTTTTCGCTGAATATCTTCGGATTGAATGGAGATATCAAAATCTTCATAGATACCTTTTTTGTAGCTCTAATCGTCCTCTTTAAAAAAGATTTAGACAAAATCTTTCGTATCGCTCCCAGATTCCAAGATATTCATGAAGAAATAAATAAAAAACTGAAATGGCCAATTTTATCCATTTCAACTTAGAAGTGACCATCTTCAATCATCAATATCTCTCGATCAAATGATCTGACTTCAACGAGTCAACATTAATTTTAAAGTCTAAAAAAATATCTTTAAAATGGAAGAAAAATCGTCCAATATCACTCAGCCAATCTGCAGATATGGACGATTAAAAACGATTGATTCCAATCTCACCTCGAAATTTACTTTCTCCTCTCCATCCCTGAATGCGAAGAAATAAATAGACTATCATCAATTTCCCCACGAAATCTCTTCCCAGAAGTCCCCCTTGATCCCCCCCCCCCCCCCCCCACCTACCGCAATTATAAATAAAACTGGGCGAAAATTCCTCAAATGAGTGAAAACCAACAGAAAAAAAACAAAAATTCGCCCGAAGCAGTAAAATTTGACCACAAAACCGAGACATGAATAATTAATCCAAAAAAAATCTCACCATACATGACTGCAACTTTAACAGCAACAATCGTCAACGACATGACGAAGAGAAACAAACTGAATGTCCACTCGTTGATGGTAATCTTCTTTAAAAAATACGAAAAGTTCTTCTGGACTTTCTCATTTTTCTCTCCAAAAGTCTTTCCATTTTTGTACAGAAATGTATCCTCAACCCCGAACATTATCCCCTAATGGCTTATTGACATTAACAACGATAATTATGACGTACAATCAGAGATAATTCGGGGATAATTATAGACAGACTGTTCTTGTTTACACCTGTGCAGTCATTCTGTCGTCATTTGGCGTCTAAAAATAGGTTATCTGGCTCGTCGCCACTTGTAAATGGTCTTGAGGTACCGTTGGAGGCGTTGGAAACTGGCCCTGAGGTCGGGAAGGGCGAGAGAGTAGGGATGAGCGATGTTTTAAAAAACATCGATTATCGAAGAATTGATGTTTTTCAAAAACTTCGATGTTGTTAATCGATTTTTCAGGAAAAAAACATCGATTATTTAAGAAATCGATGTTTTCCTCATTACACAGGAAAAAAAACAAATTGTTAAAAATTTTAATTAAAAAAAAATAAAAAAATAAATTTAAAAAAAACCTCAATAGATGATTATACTTGTTCACTCATCATTTATAACATGCATACTGTAGAAAATAATTACTTCTGATTGTGGATAAATTATTATTTTGTTTATTCTCACTCAATCATCAACATTATTATTCAACAAAAAAATTGAAAATTTTGTTAGCTTGGTTCGAAATATCGATGTTTGGCAAAAAAAATCGAAAATCGATTAATCGGCCGTTGAAGACTCGTATGAAAAACATCGATGTTTGAGCATGAACAAGCGATGTTTTCGATTAATCGACTAAAATCGCTCATTGCTACAGTAGGAAATCCTACTTTAGAGAGAAAGATGTTGGATTAGTTGAGTTGAATCAGTTTTGCTTTTGATTATGGCATCGAAACCGAAATCCGGGCCCCAGGACATGCCCCCCAAGGGGGGTTTCAGCCCCATTCAGACAGCCAGGGTGAACGTCCGGAGGATCATATCGCGTAAGTGTCCTGGGGTGACGCTTAAATGTTACGTGATTGTTTAACCTAGAAGGGATCGATCCATTTGTGGGAGATTCACGGGGGATTAAATTGGGGATGAAGGGTTTCAGAACTGTAGACTTGACTGAGGTCGACTAGACGAGACTCCAAACTGAACTCTAGAGCAGGTTTTCCATTGAATGGTAGATCTGACTTGATTAGAATACGCTACAGTAGCCAAGACTGGGCTGGACCAGACGCTAGAATTTTTTTTAATTTCAATATATTTTGAAGTGGGAGCTAATTTAATAATAAATTGCTTTATTATTAAAATTTGGGGCGAAATTAGCAATAAAAAGAGATGTAGAATATGGGAGGGAGGGGGCATCTGCGGACTAAAAACGAAGATGAAAGAATAACGAGAAATATGGAGATGATCGTACATGAAGGTGGTTGAGAGGGAAGAAAAAACAAGTACGAAACTCTCTTGAAAAGTTGTCGCTTCGACAACAACACGCTTGTTAAAGACAATTGTAGTGAATTTTCAGTTGACTACTTTAATTTTCTGGGGCCTTCAAACCAACTCTCTTTCAAAAATCCAGATAAAAAATACGAGAGAGGAGGTTTGACTCGAAATAATTAATTTGGTTTTCACGGGAAATTCTTCTTCCTTGCAACGTGAGATTCCGAAATTCAGATGACTCTCAAGATTCATCCAATTGAGTAGAAGGGAAATTGAGGATTCAAACTGGAAAAGATTTGTTGGGAACGGCAGATATCAATTGTTCTAATGAATCCGAAGATTTCATTAGAATTATTCAAGTATTTGCATCAGGTATTAATTGGTGAGAAGTATTCCATGGTAATATATTGTCATTCCTAATCTTCTCGGGGATAAATAATTGAAGAGGGATATCTTCTGGGGATATATTATCATACACTATTATGAGCATTATTGAGAACGAATGTTCTCGCGGGGATTTGAACCCACAACCTTCAGATTATCAACATAGCCTAACCAACAAAGCATCGGGGCTTTTAGACCCAATTCCAGATTAGACTTGAGACTACTCTGACGTTGAACTAGATCAGTCTTCAATTTTTCATGATTGATTCGAATTCGTGGTCTTTCAGCAACAATTGCCTCTGCTCTGACTGTCGCATCCATCAGCTTCGGTTTTCTTGGATTCACCTGGGCATATAGGGATTTCAGAAGGGAGACGATCGAGATGAACAGCGCCAGGAACGTCGTCTGGTGTATGCTACTGGCCGAGAGGGACAGAGCGTATGTTTCCTACATTTTTAAATTCTCAAGGGGTCAATATCTCCCAATCTACGAGAGATCGGGAAGTTTCCATAAGGACCTTTTTTATAAAGCCATATCAAAGCTTCAAAAAATGTCTCAACAAAAATTTCGTTCTCTCTCTCTTCGTTTCTGAGATATTCAGGTAGAAAAAAACGAAAAACCTTAAAACAAAAAAATTCAGTTCCTCAGATTTGCAAGGAGATACTCAACACTATGATATCTTGAATTTCAAATTCGTAATCTTTATGAGAACCTTTGTCAAAAGAAAGAATTCCCCTCAATTGCAGTGCCATTATTTCCAATCTTTACTTCAGGTTCCTGAAACAGATGAGAATAAATCGTGAAGAAGAACGTGACCTAATGAAGGATTACCCAGGGTGGGTCGTGGGCACCTACTTCGGTGAGCAAATCTTCGAGGGCACGAACCCAGAGGAGCTCTTCGAGCCCACGTTCCACGAGTACGCGGTTCATGCATCGGTGAATGATATCTCCGAGAGATTCTTCCGCTACCTCGCAACGTAAACTAATTGAATCATTGCAGATGATGAATGTAACTAGTAATCAAGTAAACTGGAGATATTCATGGAAGTGTATAGTAAATCAGATTCAATAAATTAATATTAAAAATTTATTCATTAATTTGTTAGTTACAGGGTCTAATCATGTTACGTAATACTCATGTAAAACAGATACACGTATGTTTGCAGACAATTCCAGACTGAAATGAATTCGAAATTTCTGAAATTCTGGCGGTTCCTAGTAATTATGCATTTAACTCGAAAACGAGTGATTCTGGAAGGAAAATTCGTTGAACCTTTTTTGTAGCTGAGAAAATTTGAACTTCTATTTTTCCAATCTCAAAATTTAATTTTAATGTAATTTAATCTGTTTAATTTTTTCAATCTGTAGAAAATTTCCTCAGCTACAAAAAATGTATGTTGACATTTTGCTCTAAATTTACCCATTTCTGGAGCAATCTCATCTCCAATAAGAATCAATCTATAGACTTCTCAAAAATTCAACTTCAGACGGGTCCAGCGCACCCTCAAACGATCCAAAACCCAACTACTCCACCCCCTCAAGCCACGGAATATTATTGTTGTAATGAATTTGCTCTTCGATCAATATTTCCCTTGAAAAAAAAAAAAAATACCGGGCGCTCGCGGTAGCATTCTCATCGTGTCGTGATTTTCGAAGGCTTCAAAACGAAGAAAATCTTTGATTTCAACATTCTTTTAATATTGCATCCGCCATCTGCAGGAACAAGGCGATACTATATGTCACTCCGATCGTTAGATGGCACCTCTTCTTACTTCAGCATTCCCCCTCCCTCATTTCCGGTTTGGGATTTTGGCCCTTTGGGATTTTGTCCCCTATCCCAATAACCTCCCGATACCTTCCAACAATAAAAATAAACAAAAATATCCATATTGTTTAAAAAATAGGATCGAGCACCTGTTCTCCACCAATTGTGCACCAGCAACTAGCCAAAAAAACCCACCAAATCGTCCGACACTTTCATAATCGCCATTAATCTTAAAAAATAGTAACTAATCACCCTGTTTCAACGTTTGTATCTAATTTGATAAAACCAGTGACAGAAAACAATAATAAACAATAATTAATTTTACGTGAAGATATTTACAATGGATAATCGATTATTTAAAATTTATAATCAAAAAGATTTTGATAGTATTACAAAGGGCATTAAAGTCGCCAAGTGCATGAGACTGAAGTCATCAATAGGTGAGTCATCATCTTGATAATTGATAATAATCCTCATTAACAAGAAATTAATTAACAATTTCAAACAATAATCTCAAATTAATCAATTTTCCTTCATAAATTGTAAAATTCTTCGAATTTTTTTCTGTTCTTCTTGAGTTCCTCAGGAGAATTTCGTCATTACATCATACATGCATTCAAATCATGATGAAAACGTTGAGGAGTGTATGCACCTGAAGACCTTGATGATGAATAGAGCCATATGGTGTGAGAATTCGAGAGAAAAGAGAGTATTATTTTTATTTCCAACGAAATTCGTGGCAAGTTCATGAAAGAACATGGCCCGAGGGCCTCCAGCCAAGCATTAACATTCAGTATACAGGGCAGAAATAATTATTCACAGAAAGAACATGAATAGGAAGTTATGAGCTTTCATAATGTAGGTAGAAAGAATAAAGACGAACTTCACAAGATGAGGAGTAATTAATTTTACGTGAAGATATTTACAGTGGATAATCGATTATTTAAAATTTATAATGAAAAAAATTTTAATCGTATCACAAAGGGGATTAAAGTTGCCAAGTGCATGAGACTGAAGTCATCAATGGGTGAGCAATCATCTTGATAATTAATGATAAACCTCATCAACATGAAATTAATTAACAATCTCAAACAATTATCTCAAATTGATCAATTCATTTTCCTTTATAAATCGTAAAATCCTTCGAAATTTCTTCTGTTCTTCTCGAGTTCCTCAGGAGAATTTCGTCATTATTACATCATACATGCGTTCAAATAATCGTTAATACGTCGAGGAGTGCAAGAACCTGAAGACCCTGCTGATGAATAGAGCCGTATGGTGTGAGAATTCGAGAGAAAAGAGAGTATTATTTTCATTTCCAAGGAAATTCGTTGCAAGTTCATGAAAGAACATGGCCCGAGGGCCTCCAGCCAAGCATTAACATTCAGTATACAGTGCAGAAATGATTATTCACAGGAAGAACATAACTATGAAGTTATAAGCTTTCATAATGTAGGTAGAATAAAGACGAACCCCACAAGACGAGGAATATGATGTGAGAATGGTACAGCATGAGAAAAAAAAGATGCAGTGATGGGTGAGGAGGTACAGAATATTCAGAGTGATTGTTGGAGGTGATCTGAGCCTCCCCAGGAGTCAGAGCCGTACGTCTCAATTCTGATGGGCTTGAGATTTTCAAGAAAGGTGTGCGGGGAGTATTTATAATGAGATCTGATGTCGGGGTTGCGCTTGTGACAGACGTCGAGAATATTATCCAGCTTATCAAGGGAAAAACTCGTCAGTTTGTTGAATCTGTGAGTGATGGGTTCTATTTCTGATCTTTCGTAAACTAGGATTCTTGAGGAATTGTGGAGAGGATTGTCTGGGTGGCGAATTTTCGTAATTTTCCGGAGTGAGATTCTTTCAGCTACGTCAATTATTTGTTTGGTACCTGGTCTGTCGAGAACAGAAGCAGTAGAGGATAGCCAGAGTCCACTATAGGCATATTGAGGCCTTTGTCCTTTCAGTTCCAGATCCTGAGACCATTTTCTCGCAACTGGAGGACCTGACGGTGTCTGATTCCCTGAGCTGTTCATTTTGCAACAAGGTGTTCGAGGATCAGGCCCAGCAGAGGTCCCATTACAAGCTGGACTGGCACAGATACAACCTGAAGCAACGGCTGAGGGGCTTCAAGTCCATCACCGAAGACGAGTTCGATGTTCTTGCTGATGAAGGTTTGGTAGTGGCTTCAACTACTTGACATGATGGATTTTTTGGGGATCATTTTATGGAAGGTTGACAATTTTCTGCGTCGCTCCTCAGCCTTCCTCAAAATCCCAAGAAACCCCATCGCTGAATAAATCTCAAACTCATCGTTCTCCTCTTCTCTCTTCTCTCTCCCTCTCGCAGATGATGTCTCCAGTCTCTCAGGCTCCGAGTCCGACCCGGAGAACGGCTCCGAGACCAATTCCACGGACACCGCCACCCCAAAACCCCCGGACCACGACTCAAAATCCTCTCCGAGCAGTAGCACCCGTCCGAAGAAGCTCGACCGCAAGCTCCTGATCTCCTGCGTCTCCTCGGATTCAGAGCCTGAAGAAACGTCTGAAGCCGCTCAAAGACGAAAGCACGACGCCCTGACGGTAACTGCCAGTCGTCACTCGAAGGTCTTCTTCGAGAATTCCGAAGGTAATTATGATGTAATTTGTATTATAGGGACCACGGAAAGATCGGAGTAAAATGAGACACCAGGAAAAACGATTATCTACTACAATTTAGGAGACTTGTTTTGTTTTTAGTTGAGGGTCAAACGACCCTTAAAGACGCGTGGGTCAAGTGACCCTTTCTGATCACTCTGTTCTAACCCTTTTGACCCCTACGACAATTTGACCCGCAGTTCTATACGTTTTTGAGGTTTGTTTGACCTTAACATCATTTGATCCTCAATTCCAAACTTCCTTGAGGGTGCCAAGTGAATTTGGCGATGACCTTGAAAATTGACATTCACCAACAAAGTTATCATTTTTTTAATTGATAGTATTAGACAGATGGTGAACATCGGTGACAATTTTAAAATTTTAGAACTTATGGATATCGAGAAATTAAATAAACAAAATCAGTCTTATACACGGCCTCTTATGGAGTTTTGATTAAATTGAACGTTTCAACCCCCTAGGAACTCAAGAAAAATTTGAAAAAATTGCAAGATATGGGGAATGATGTGTTCAATGTGATAGCGGCAAAAAACAATGGGATACCGGGGTGAATAAGAGAAATATTTCAACCCGCCGTACCCATTTGATCCCATGCTTTCTCGAGGTTCGTCACGCGAAATAGAGGATTTTCCGCATTTATTTTCTCGATGTCTAGTTCCGGTTGCGGGTTTGAAATTTCGTCGGATGGATGAATACATATTTCTCCAATGATGGAGGGAAAGAAAAAATTTTTTTTGAATCTTTTTTCCAATTCACTTGGCACCCTTAAGGGTTGTTTGACCTTCGACTTCAAACGTCTTTAAGGATTCTTTGACCCTCAAAACCGTTTGATTTTTGGCTCCAAGAGGCTTTAATGGTCATTTTACTATCGAAATCATTTGACCCTTAATTTCAAAAGCCCTTGAGGGCTGTTAATTTCAAAAGTCCTTAAGGGCTAAACCCTTAAACCGTAAGGGCTTTTCAATTTCAAAACCCCTTAGGGGTTTAACTTTACCATTATCATTTGACCTCCAATTTCAAGAGGGTCGTTTGACCCACAAAACCGTTCCAATTTCAACTCTAGACATTCTTAAGGGTTTTCTGCCCCTCAACACCATTTGACCCTCAACTCAAAACTTTATCAAGGGTCGTTTGACCCTTCAAATCATTCAGGTACCAACTGTCAACGTTTTTATGTAGTATTCACCTTTCAAGACTATCTGACCTTCAGCTTCAAAAGCCCTTAAGGATCGTTTGACCCTCAAAGATATTTGAATGTCATCTTTAAACCTTTTCAAGGACCATTTGACCCATTTGACCTTCAAAGCCATCTGACCCTCACCTAAAAACCAAAAAAGCGCCCATCCATACAATCCGCCATTAAAAACCTCTCTACTTCCTCCTCCAGGTGACATCTTCAGCATCTACCGCTGCCTCCTCCACTCAAAGAAGTCCGTCCCCTCCCTAAACGACGAGATAATCTCCCAAGCATTGAACAGCGGCAAGCGCTCCAGTTGGACCGTCATAATGGTGGGAGGTGGTCACTTCGCAGCGGCAGTCTTCCAGGACGGCGAGGCCCTGGTCCACAAGACCTTCCACACGTACACAGTGCGCGCTAAGCAGGGCTCGAGCCAGTCCCAACGGGACAATCGTGGGGCTGGCTACCAGAAGAGCGCTGGAGCTAGTCTCCGCCGTTACAACGAGTCCCTCCTGATCCAGCACGTCCAGGAGATACTCGACTCCTGGGGCCCCCACATCACCAACTCCTCCCTGATTCTGTACCGAGCAGTGGGTCCCCAGAACCGAACAGTCCTCTTCGGGGGTAAGAATCCACCGCTCGACAAGACAGACCCTAGACTCCGTCCCCTTCCCTTTCCCACGAGACGAGCAACATTCAGTGAAGTCCAGAGGGTCTACGACGTCCTGACAACGGTGGAGGTGTACGGATCAGCCTCGGACTTCACCGACTCCTTCCCCATATCCCCAAGACAACCCATCCGCAAGAAAATCCCTAGGGTCGATCTCCTGGACGAAATCCCAGAGCAGAAACCTGAGGAGAATCCTGATGTGTTGACGTCGTCCCCTGACGTCTCCAAGGGCAAATCCCCCGGGGCGTCTGGGGACAGGCACAAGAGCCCCAGGACTCGCATAGACCGAGCGAAAGCTCGGAAAAGTCCCAGCAGACCTCTACCTGACATCATCGCCAGACTGGCAATGTCTTCCTCTGAATCAGATGCTGATGTTCCTCTTCAGTTATTCGATCAAATCTGTGAGATTGATTTTACGGAGGATCTTCTGGCCTTTGAAGACACTGCGCCTAGGCACATTAGACAGAAGAAGATCAAGAGACAGAGGAAGAAGGTGAAGAAGGACAAACCGGAGAGAGTTGTCAATCGGGTGCTGGAGGAGTCCAAGATGAAGCTGTGGGCTGCTTGCATGGTTGGGGATGTTGGATTGTTGAATGACACGTGGGAGGTGCTTATAGGGGAGGTGAAGAGGTGGGAGAAGCCGCAGGTGTCCACTGGAGGGTCAGAGGGGTATCCAAAGAGCCCTGAAATCACTTCGAGACAGGATGACAAAAACGAAGAGGATACGAATGACGTTGAATTGAAAATAGAGAACGTTCTGGAGGTGATCAATGAGGGTAATGATGATGGCAACACTCTGCTGCATCTGGCAGCTGTGGCAGGACACCTCGATGTCGTCTGGCTGCTGATGGAGATGGGTGCCAACCCCTGCAGGAAGAACAAGAAATGTCAGACGCCTTATGCAGCCACTGCTGGCAAGGAGGCCAGGAACACCTTCAGGAGGTTCATGGCTGTCAATCCCGACAAGTTTGATTACCAAAAGTCCCAGATCCCTGCACCTCTCACCGAGGAGATCGAGATGGAGGAGATGAACAGGAAGAGGGTGCTGAGGAAGGCCAAGAGAGAGAAGGAGAGGGCGAAGAAACGAGAGTTCGAGATGAAGAAGCAGGAAGAGAACTCCAAGCAACGGTTCCTCAATCTCTCCGACAGGGAGAAGAGGGCACTCGCTGCTGAGCAGAGGATCCTCAAGCAGAATGGGGTGGTTGTGGCCAGGTGCTTCCAGTGCGCTGCTGACATGTCTGGAACAGTTCCCTTCGAGTATAACTCTAATAGGTTCTGCTCTATGCCATGTTTGAAGGAGCACAGACTGCATAATAAGTTTATTGTTTGAGGGTTGGAGTGAGAGGTGGGGGATTTGTACATTGTTNGGGGGGGGGGGGGGGGGGGAGTATTGTGATGAAGAGAATGAAGAGATGATTGATTTGGAGGTGGTGATGACTATAATTAGCATGACTTTCAGTAAATGTTTACCGTGTAGAATGTTTTGACAAAATTTGTATTGGACATCTTCATTTTCATCTTCTTCGAATCAGCTGATGACCGCAGAGGTCAATGACTAAGAAATGGTTAAGGGAGAATGGGGCGAAGAGGGAGGGTAGCAAATAACGAATGAAGAGTGAAATTTACTTTTTTAAAATTACTATTAATGAAAAATTACGAAGGGTCAAGCGAGGGAGATGGGTGGAGGTTGACCCTTTCACCTGTCTCTCCTATTTCACCCTCACGACACTCATGAGTCCTAGAGAAGGTTTGACTCTTCTTTTTTGGAAATAGGAATTCGAATTTTAAAACACCAAACATTTTTAAGAATTATTTAACACAGTTTCAAGTGTCTTTAAGGGTCATTTGATCCTCAAAACCATGGAAAAAATATATATTCGTTTTTTTCCCCTTCTCTAGAACTCAAAGGACGACAGAGGGTCAAGCATTCCTCAAGGTAAAATGGAAGAACAGGCGGAGCACAGGAAGAACAGGCAGGCACTTTGCCCCACTCTACTTCACTGAACTGGTCAGCTTGTAGATAAGAAAAAATACGTGTCTTAGTTTTGAGTCCTCTACAACATATATAAGTTTCATCAAAATCCGAGTGACATTTCCCTCAGGGGGCCTATTCTCGACATATTTCCGTGCGCGGTATCGACTTCGTTGACGGAACGCCTATATGATTCCTATACGCAATTCGTCTACGAACCCACTTCTGTCCACGGAAATATTTCGAGAATAGGCCCCTGATGGGTTCTATTCAATCTATTGTCACCGAAGTAATTGAGGTCGGGAGCACCACTTGCTCGATCAGAGTAATGATCTCGTATTTTTTTGCAGAGAATTTCATCAGCTGTAAAAGAAATTCTTTCAACGAGACAAAATCTGAAGAATTGTCTGATACATTTCACCACTGCTTTCTTGAGTTAATTCTCCTCGTCCATCAATTTATTTTCCTTTATTTTCAGTATATATTTTACAGATAATAAACAGTTACTTGGAACATTTCATGGAATATAAAGAGTGTAGATTTACTTTCCAGAGGTGAACTTGGAGAGACCTTCTAGTAAACTAATGTACGCACTGTGTTCGTAATTCGTGCTCAAATCGACCAATTTCTCAGCGAATTCGTTTGAAATACCCTTCTCCTCGAGGTAGTTCATGAGAAGGTCGTACAAGTACTGCAACAGGTTTCGAAGAATGAGTTTTTTTAATTATTTGAATGACATTAATTATTAATAAAGATGCTTATGGAAATTGTTGGTATCCTTACCCCATCGATTACTTCACCAGCTACTGCATAGACTTTGTCACTGTGTTCACCTTCGTAGAGAGTGATTTCGTCGATTCCAAAGCAGTCATCTACGAGGGGAAAAGCATTCAATTAACTAATTAATGGGATCCACCAATTAGAAACAAATTGTGAAGACAGACTGATTGAACTAGATTTGAGGGCCACTTTGTTGAATATCTTGATATCTAATGGAGATAGCAAAATTTTCGTCAAGATCTTTTTTGTAGAGAAGAATGAAATACAAATATTTCGGTATCTGCTTTAGATTCTGAGATATTTAGCAAAAACTGATCTGAAAGTGGAATTTCATTTTTATTCGACATTTTGGTTGAATTTTCATTGGATTATTTAATTTCAGAATTTTAGTTTTGCTTTTTGTCTTCAACTCACTGTAACTCTCATCAGCTCCTGACGCTCCTGGCTCATTATTGAATGAGCATGAAAACCCGAGGGTCTGCTTTCCCCTCTCAATGTCAATGGAGAAATTTGGTTTGCTCTTCATCTCCCCAAGATCTGGTTTGTCGTCGTTCGGATCAATCTCTGGCTCGTTGTCGCTGTCCACTGTGTGGTTGACGTTGAATCCAATTGTGATTCTATAATTAATAATTGTTCGTCTGCATTATGAGTACGCCTGAGGATGATGAAATGGCTCTTCTAGATTTGCCATCAAAATTTTATGATTTTTTGAACAAAATTAACATGATGTAGGGAATTTTCTCCGTTAATTCTTTATTGATCTCGTGAACAAATGATTATAAGGGAAAATGTCAGAGTTTTCGAATGAAAATTCTCTACAAAAAAAAATCCTGGGAAATTTTTCTTAGGATGAAATCTGTAAAAAAATTCCCTAGCATTTCAAAAAATATTTTCGAATGAGAAATCTAGCAAAAATAATCGAAAAAAATTAAGGCATTTCAGGATCACCTGTCTATAAAAAAACAGATAACAAAAACGTGCAACTGTTAAAATTTTTTTTTTTATAATTTATTATCGCGATATTTGAACATTCATAATTTTTTTAATGAAAATTTTTCAGTTTCTAGTCAAATGGATTCATCGCAGGATGATAAAATGGTTCTCCTGCATTCGTCGTCAAATTTCTAGGAAATCTTTAATCTTAAATTAAATCTTTATTTTAAAAGAAAAGGTAACAAAAATCAAGTTTCAAAAACAAATTAAAAAATCATCAAAATTCTAGATTTAAATAATTATTATCAATCAATTACGAATGATGAAATTAATGAAATACGGAATCATCCTTTGGAAAAAATGTAGTTGTAAGAACTTACGTTTCATCTGCCTGTTTCTTCACCAAAGTAACATTAGCCCCATCAAGAGACACTGAGAACCCATCAACCTGTGTAGGAATGGTCTTCAGCTTCTGAGCCTTCTTCTCAGCGACGATTTCCTCAGCCAAGAATTCCACCAGCTCCTTCTCAGCTAAAAATAATTTAATTAAACCCCAATGAAAATTTTTAAAAAATGCAAAATTCAGAAAGGTCTACCTATCATCGAGATAATTGGAAATTTATAAAAATTATTCTGCAAAATTTTCTAGTTTCCAATCAAGTTGATTCATCACCATCGACTAATTGTTAAATTATCTCAATACCGAAGGAATTTAGGGGAAAATGTCGAATAACATTTTTTATAGATGATTTCATCAGCTACAAAAATATTATCTCACGTTTCCCTCTAGATCTACCTATTATCAATATAATTGAAAATTTATAAAAATTATTTTGCAAAAATTTCTCGTTTCCAATAGCGTTGATTAATCACAATTTCCTAATTGCTGAATTATCTCGCTACCGAAGGAATTTAGGAGAAAATGTCGAATAGCATTTTTTGTAGAGAATTTCATAAACTACAAAAAAGGTCCAGCAACATGTCCTCCCACAACGACTTATTACGAAGATAATTGAAAATTCGTCGAATTCAATTCTGCAAAAATCTCTTCTGCGCCTGCTTTTTAGCTAAAAATAATCAGTGAAATTCCAACTAAAAATTGAAAAAAAAAAATTGTCCCCCATGGAAGCCCTCTCGAGCACGTGGTCAGGGGCTGCCTGACCCTTCCGGACGATTTTCCAAAGGAAAAATAGTTTGACGATCTTCACCTTTCGTGTGTTGGGCTCTTCCGCAGCCACAGCTGCATGTCTCGAAGGGCTTCAGCAGTTTTACCCCTGAACTCTGTGAATTCTCACTCTGGGACCGGTTAGACATGTGCCAGAGGCAGCGGGATAGCTGGGGCGTGATAACTCGGGCAGATGATGTTGACGACACGAGATTTTTCACTCCCACGACGCGCAATGCATTCCTCACGATTCCACTCATCTTTATTATTGTTTCTTGTCAATTATTTATTGGATCCGGAGGGATATTCACTTGGAGGAAATACCGGTGGGGTTCTGAGAGACTCACGCGAGAAATGGATGCTATTACGTCACGAGGGGATGCCAATATGGCGGATAAAATGGCCAATGGACGCGATTATTTTCATGAAAATTGACGAAATTGAGATTTTTCTTTTTTCTTTTGGCTTTTGATTTGTTATGTTGAAGGGGCTATCGATGAGATTATAACGGGTTACGTCTCATTTTGAAGGGTGGAGAGAAATATCGAAAATGAAAAAAAAAATTGGAGAAATTCACTCTGCCGATTTTGAGATATTGACGATTGAAGATGATTTGCAGCAAAGAGGAAGAGGATCAGTTTAACTAAATTTGCGATTAATTTTGGCGAATATCGAGGAATCTAGAGAAGATAGCAAAAATTTTATCTATACATTTTTTTTGCCCTCAAAATTTTCTACAAAAAAGATCCTCAGTAGAATTCCCCTATCTCTCTTAGATTTCGAGATATCCGCGAAACACAGAACTCAAAATTTATTATTAAGTTTATAAAAATCAGTTGGCTCAACAGAGTTTTTGATTAATATCTTTGAACCTTCGATAGATAGCGAAATTTCCATAGGAAGTTTTTTGCAGGGAATTCCCAGGGCTACAAAAAAGGTTTATACAAAAATCCTGCTATCTTCTCTGCATTCCGAGATATCTGCGATTTTCTGGCGTCTATTTTTGAAAACTTGCAACTGAGTTTTCATGAACTTTATTTTAACTCTTCTCCTGGAGCACTCTGAAGTCGACACATTGTAGTTAGCTTCCCGGTGGTCAACATCCCTTTGTAAAGCACAAAATACGTCGGAAAACAGTGATAATTAGACTGTTAATTACTCCCGTCACCAGACGTTTCCTCTCCTCCAAATTTACTCAATTAATTTCACAAATTTCTTTCCTATTTGTTTCATTTGTCGAAGATTCCCTGGGTTTTAATCGCTTTTGAGGTTATGGTCGTACCATTACATGAAGTTTTTAGAGTCTGACTTGTAAATACAAAACAAATCGAGAGAATCATGGAGGTTTTAATTCAGAATCTGGGATCGGTTAAAGTACCAAAACGAGAGGATAAAATCTACAAGGATGAGTGTGTTTACTCATTCGATACTCCGGTAATTGATTTTTCATTATTCTGTGTGGCAATTGTTGATGACATTTCTCCCTGTTGAAGACATGTCGACGAATCATTTTTCTTTCGTTTGTTTTCTCTGTTTTTGCTACTTTTGCTGTGGTTTTTGTCAGAAGAAAAGTGGAAAAAACGTTTTTTATTTCATTTTGTTGCTTTTTAGGAGTCTCCAGAGGGTTTATTCATCAGTTTGTCGTCTTTCCATGGTCTCGGGAGGGATCATGTAGAGAGATACTTTAAGAAAACTGGGCAGACTGTGTTCTTCAACATCAGAAGGACTAAACAGGTGAATAAATGACTTTCAATGATTTTTTTTAATCACAATTTATTAATCATTGAATTATCTCGATACCGAAGGGATTTAGGGGAAAATGTCGAAGAACATTTTTTTGTGGTGCATTTCATATGCTACAAAAAAGATTTTGTCACTTTGCCTCCTACGTCTACGTGTTACCAACATAATTGGACATCTGAAATTTTTTTAGTGAAAATGTCCATGTTCTGGTCAAATTAATTCATCGCACTTTGTTTGTTGAATTCTCTTTATGTGGCGTAGATTTGAGAAAAAATATAAAAGAACGTTGTTTGGTGAGGAACTAGGTTTAGGGTGGATGTGGGAGAAAAATGTGGAGGGAGATGCTGGAAAATTAATGATGGCATTGATTATGAAAATATCACTATTCATGGGATCGAACCACATCGTTAAATAACTTCTTCGTACACTCTTTGGTATTAAATTTTACTGTTGAGTGTCTTAAAATCACTGCTGATTGTCTGCAATTTTAATAAAGTTGAATCACTGATAATAGTTGAATTTAGACTGATAAAACTGAGGTGATGTACTTGAACGAAACGTTGATCTTACAAAGACTGGTGATGCACTTGGTTACTAGTGAGCTAGGTGAGGTTCAAATTGCTACTCGGTGAGGTGCGATGTAAGACTAAATTTGGAGGTTTTCACGATTGTCTGACCGCTCAAGCGAATTCTCCCGATGGTGCTCGAGTTGAATGTTCTGGAATTTTAGTTGCGTTTCTAACAAACGTTTTTTGCAGAGAATTTTATAAGCTACAAAAAATATGATGTCACTTTTTTCTCTAAGTCTACTAATTATCGGGATAATTGGAAATTTATCAAATTTTTTGTGCAAAAATTTCAAAAATGATAAATTTATCAAGTAATAATAAATCACAATTTACCGAATTTCATAAGCTGCAAAAATGGTGCAGCAATATTTCTAGCCAAAACGACTCATTACGAAGCAGGGATGACCATATCCATAAATTATAATTACTTAACTTTTTGTTATTGAAGTAATCATCAATTTAAATATTCAAATTTCGAATGATTTATTAATCAGTAATTTAATTAGGAAGATCGACGATAATTTGAATAATGGAAACTCCTTTATAAATAATTTAGTATTATTTACTTCATCGAAAATTTAGATTATCAATTATTTTACTATTTTTTAATTTCGATTAGCCAATTCAAACATTATTCAATATGGCCCGGTTGCCCCAAGCCCTGTTATCCAAATAAATCCCGGAGTAAAATTTATCCTCGGGATCAATTATATCGTAGGGATCATAATTTTTCAATATTTGACCCGAAGAATAATTCTTTACTTATCCTGTAGCCCCATTTGAATTAACACTGATTTAACCTTGGGATTAAATTTTATTTTTTGTTCCTGGGATAAATTTGAGGTACTCTTCTCGGTAAAATAATCCATCGAACATCCAAATTTACTTTTTTCTTATCTGACATTTTCGTTACCCAGAGCTGGTACAACCGGGCCTATAAGTTAGAAATTCTTTTAATATTGAAGAATCGGAAGATTGATGGCCATCTCTGTTACGAATATAATTGAACACTTGGCGAATTAAACTTTGCAAAAATCTCACTAAATTCGTAAAAAATATTTCTCTACCTGTCCCTCGGTTAAAAATCATTCATCATCATCATCTTCTCCAGGCTGTCGTCGACCAAGGTATCGATGGTCCTGCCAAGAAGATCACCAGGTTGGCGATCGGGACCCCAGGGGGTTTCGTCCCCGACGAGCAAAAGTTCACGTACGAGGATACCTACCAAATCGTCGTTATGCCAAAGTTCTCGACCGTTGACTACCCCAACAACGATCTCCCAGAGCATGTGAAGAATTCGATAGTCGGGGTATTGGAGGCTGAATCTGCTACGAAGGTTGCTGAGAGAGAGGCACTCGCTGGGACTTGGGATGGAGAAGCCAAAATCATCTCCAAGTTAGTACTTTGATTTGATAAATCTCTTCAATTTACAATTTTCTATTGTTCTTGCCATGAAATTTATTCATTCACTCATTTATCTATTCATCAATCCATTTATTTGTTTTTAATTCATTTCACAAAATATTAAAAAGATTTTTTCATTGCAACTCCCCTTTCGCCTTTAGTTGAATAAATAACAAATGGGAAAATGCTGTTTTCACAACATAGTCAATATATTTTTGCAAAGAAATTAGCAAGTCGCTTCTGAATAAAATTTCTATGACGATGTATTTTAAATTGAATTCAATGATTCGCTGAATTCAGCATTTTCCTAAAGTTGGCAGCCAACATTGGCCCAATACACATACGCATACATCCGGACATAGTCTAAAAATAGCATATTCAAACTTCTGAGACCAAAATTAGTTATCCTGACCCAAAAAATTGAAAATTCCGGATTTGGCGAATGAAATGTTTCCATTGAGAGCCAACAAATACCATAAAAAAATTAAAAAACAAAAAATTCCCTTCCTAAATATGAAAAAAATCTGTCAGACATGCAGCTAATCTCCTTCAACTGGACAACGGCAAGAAAATCCCCCCAACTGGTTGGAAATGCGAGAAATGTGATTTAACCCAGAATCTCTGGTTGAATCTCACTGACGGTTCGATCCTCTGTGGTCGTAAATTCTACGATGGAACAGGGGGCAATGACCACGCAGTGGAGCACTATAGGGCGACTGGCCACCCACTGGCAGTGAAACTTGGGACAATCACGAAGGAGGGGACTGGGGACGTCTACTCGTACGACGAGGACGACATGGTTGACGATCCGAATCTGATAGTTCACCTAGCCCATTGGGGCATCAACATCGCTCAGCTAGAGAAAACGGAGAAGTCCATGGTGGAACTTGAGCTGGACCTCAATCAGAAATTCGGGGAATGGGTGGCTCTCCAGGAGGCTGCCACCAAATTGACACCTGTCTATGGACCTGGATACACTGGACTCAATAATTTGGGAAATTCTTGTTATCTTAATAGTGTTATGCAGACTATTTTCGTTATTCCGGACTTTATTCAGAGGTAATTCGTGAATTGAATGAACTAGTTCCTTAATTTATCAGATGATGAATAGATTGATCAGTCATAATGATGATTTTTTAAAATTTAGATTTGTAGATCCAGCAGTGGAGATCTTTGATAGTAACACAGTCGATCCTGCCAACGATTTTAACGTTCAAATGTAGGTATGAAGCCCTCAACACATGCCCAACAATTTCCACGATGATTTAATTAATTTATGGAAACCTTCAGGGCAAAATTGGGAGTTGGTTTGTTATCTGGGAAGTATTCAGTGGCCCCTGAGGCTGAAAAAGAGGATGGGGGTCGACAGGGGGTGCCTCCAAGGATGTTCAAGAGTCTGATAGGAAAAGGACATCCAGGGTTTTCGTCTACTAGACAGCAGGATGCCCAAGAATTCTTTCTCCATCTCATAAACATCTTGGACGTAAACTCGACAGTTCCAAAAATCATGAAATTAACTTTCAATTGTTTCATCAGGGCTGGAAAATTGATTTCGCATTTTTATTTCAGCGTCACAGTGTTCACAAAGTGAACCCAGCCGATGCCTTCAAATTCAAAGTTGAGGAGAGATATCAGTGCAGCAGTTCCAATAAAGTCAAGTACTCCTATCGACCAGAGTACCTGTTACCTCTGCCAATTCCTCTGGATGCTGCAACCAATCTGGTAATGATTCGAAAGAGGGGCAAAGGGTACACGAGGGGTTATTTTTGGTCGCAATATTTTTTTTCATGATTCACATAATAAAGTACATTTTTTCTCGTCGTCATCATCATTACCCCAATGCCTGTATGGAGAACATTTCTTCATTAAGACATTCACTAATTTTATGTGGGGTCACCCATTCACTTAGTAACCACACTCAGCGCTGCTTAGCTTTCCATAACTCTACCAATGCATCAAAGACATGACATTATCTGAGCATAACGACACAGAGAGATACATAGAATGACCGTTTTCAAATCATCAATATTTTTGAAGCTGAAGGATTGAATGAGATAAACTCTACCTGATTTTCAAGCCTAAAAAATCTGGAAAAGATGGTTGAAAGAAAGTTATTTCAATTTCAATTCTTCGGTTCTGAAATATCGACTGTTTTGGAAACAATTCAATAACTCCTGACCTCTTTTGAAAAGTCAATCACATTCATGTCTCAGGATCCATCAATGAGACAATTCTTCAATCGTCATCATGGGGTCCCCCATCCACTTAGTAACCACACTCAACGCTGCCTAGCTTTCCATAACTCTGTTTATCCACACATCTGTAGCTTGGCCAAAGCGGTCGTCAACAATTTAATGAAAACGTCGGATAATCGACAAGAACTCTCGTTTCATCCAATCCTTCATTTTAAAATTGCTGACAATCTCTCGGGCCAATCTATAATCATGGAATTTCGATGAGATAGTTTCTCACCAAAGAATTCCATAATCATTTTCCTCCCCAGGAAGAGGTAGCTGCCTACGAAGCCGAGAAAAAAGAAGCTGAATCCAAGGGGCGTCGTATGGACACAACGACTCCCCCAGTTCGTCCCCACATAAAGCTCTCCTCCTGCCTGGAATCCTTCGCCCGGACAGAAGTAGTCGAGCAGTTCTACAGCACAGCCTTGAACGATAAGACCACCGCCACAAAGAAGACTCGACTGTCAACAACCCCCGACTATCTCCTCATCCACCTGAAGAAGTTCAATGTCAGCGAGGACTGGACGCCAATAAAACTGGACGTCGCAGTGGAAATGCCGGACATTCTCGATCTGAATCTCCTAAGAGGAACTGGAAAGCAGGCAGATGAGGAATTACTCCCAGAATCAGTAGACTCAGACGTTCCAGTGCCAGTCTATAACGAGGAGATCATGGCACAGCTGTCGGAGATGGGTTTCCACCCAGAGGCCTGCAAACGCGCCCTCTATTTCACCGAAAACAAGGGCCTGGAGGCAGCCACCAACTGGATCATGGAGCACATCGCTGATTCTGATTTCACTGATGTGTTTGTACCACCAGGGGTGGACCCAAACCCCTCCAAGACATTTGTCCCTGGTCCTGGGTTGGAGTATCTCCTCAACCTTGGGTTCACCCAGGAACAGGCTGTCAAGGCTCTCAAGGCCACTGACAATAATATCGAGAGGGCTGTCGATTGGATCTTCAGCCATCAGGGGGACGTTGACTCGGTGGAAATGGAGGAGGACAAGAGCGAGGGCTTCAGGGATGGAGGGGATAGGTATAAACTCGTTGGGTTTATCTCGCATATGGGGACGTCTACTATGGTCGGGCACTATGTGTGCCATTTGTTGAAGGATGGACGATGGGTCATTTTTAATGATGAAAAGGTGAGAATGAGACACGTTTTTGTCAGCTTTAAGGAAATTTTTGAGGGGTTCTCTTCGTTCCGAGACGAGATGATTCAACTGGGTTGGATAGATATTTTTTAAGAATTAAGATGCAAAAGATCTTGACTCAAGTGGAAATCCGCAGAAAGTTATCTGTAAGATGAAAAATTCATATACTAATGTCTGTCCAAGAGATATCGTTTTTGAAAAGTTATCTGTTTGCTATCTTTAGGACGTCTCGTCGGGAGCAATATCTTTTGGACAGACATTAGGATATGAATTTGACATCTTAGAGACAACTTTCTGGAGATTTTTACTTGGGAAGACACAAATTTTTCAAGATAAGATAAATTTGAGATATTCCAAAGTCCAGCGTAAGCTCGACGAAATAGCTACCTGACCGAAAATGTTTCATCTATTTTTTAACAGAGAAACATCTCAGAACTCAGAATTAATGGGATCAATGGAAAAATTGTTGATTTATTGTGAATAGTTTGTGACAATGATTTGTAAATTATATTCCGCAGGTTGCTCTCTCCGAAAATCCTCCGAAGGAACTTGGATACATCTACATGTACCAACGCATCACTTCGTAGCTTCAACGTTTTTTACCGATTCAAACCTTAAAGAATGATTTAACATATTAATAATGATTGAGTATACTATGATAAACTTAATCCATTTAATAAAATTGTTTATCCCGAAAATTGGTATTTTGAATTTTTATTATTGCTAATTGTGAACTTCGAAACGTGACCTCAATAAACGATGGGTCATTTTTAATGATGAAAAGTTTGGAATGAGATGCATTTTTGTCAATTTTAAGAAAATTTTTGAGGCATTCTCTTCGTTCTGAGAACGAGATGAATCAAGTGTGTTGAATAGATATTTTTAAAGAATTAAGATCAACTTGAGATATTCCAAAGTCCAGCGTAAACATGACGAAATAGCTAGCTGACGGAAAATGTTTTATTTATTTTTTAACAGAGAAACATCTCAGAACTCAGAATTAATGGGATCAATGGAAAAAAATTGTTGATTTATTTATTAATAGTTTACGCCAATGATTTGTAAACTATATTCCGCAGGTTGCCCTCTCCGAAAATCCTCCGAAGGAACTTGGATACATCTGCATGTACCAACGCATCAGTTCGTAGTAGCTTCAACGTTTTTTACCGATTCAAACCTTAAAGAATGATTTAACATAGAGGAGGGTGGGGTAAAATAGACACTTTGGATTTTTTTTAAATTACTTATAACTCAGAAACAAATTTATCAATGGAGCTCAATTTAGGCTCATCACAAAGGGCAAGAATTGTTCTTTGCATTGAAAAAAAAAATTATTAAATTTCATCACCATTTCAATCTGCCATTAACATTTTTTAAAAAGTCAAGTGTCCATTTTACCCCAACCTCCCCTATTAGTAATAATTGAAAATACTATGATAAGCTTAATCCATTTAATAAAATTGTTTATCCGAAAACTGTTGTTTTGAATTTTTTGTCGCTGATTGTGAACATGGAAACGTGACCTTAAGGGGTGTTTCCACGTGTCCCACCTGTCATGCGCTTCAGTTTGTAATTGTAAACAAGAGGAGAGAGTCGACGACTCCTAACCAAGAAAAAGAATAGATAATTTTTATGCAGAAGAAAATGATATCGGAAAGGAGAGAGTGAATAATTAATCATGACAGTGGAGGGAATAAGCAGCAACGATCAAGTGATTTTTGCCACTGGGGGATACGATCACACCATCAAGATATGGCAGGCACACACTGGAGTCTGTCAACGAACTGTTCAACACACTGTTTCGGTATTTATTGAGGGATAAATGAATGAAGTGGACTGTTGAGACAACAATTGATGATTTTAATATTGAATAATACATTTGTTGATTATTACAGCAAGTCAATGCCTTGGATATCACTCCGGACAAGCACGTGATAGCTGCTGCTGGGTATCAGAACATTTTCATGCACGATCTAGCCTCGAGTAATCCAAATTCAGTGCTGAATTACGAAGGAGCTTCTAAGAATGTCACGAGTCTCGGGTTTCAGGTGAGAATTGGGTAAATTTAGGATTTTTCCTGAAGTTTGTGGTGACGAATATCCTTTGATGTTTGAGTTTTGAAGAATCTTGCCACAAAGAAAATAGTTGATTGCAACTTTAACTTCATATTATATGTTGATATTGTTTTAAAAATTGCTTTGCACTTGAACATTTGCAAAGTAATAGGCTGATCCGTATTGGATTCTGCGCATCCCGTACTCCGCTTGTTCGCAATCCCTCAAGAATCCTAGTCTACGAACGCCCAGAAATAGAACCCATCACTCACAGATTCAACAAACTGACAACGAGTTCTGCCCTTGATGAGCTGGATAATATTTTCGACGTCTGTCGCAAGCGCAACTTCGACATCAGATCTCGTTACAAATACACCCGCACACCTTTCTTGAAAATCTCAAGCCCATCAGAACTGAGACGTACGGCTCTGACTCCTGGGGAGGCTCAGATCACCTCCAACAATCACTCTCAATATTCTGTACCTCCTCACCCATCACTGCATCTTTTTTTTCTCATACTGTACCATTCTCCCATCATTCTTCGTCTTGTGGAGTTCGTCTTTATTCTTTCTACCTACATTATGAAAGCTTATAACTGTGAATAATCATTTCTGCACTGTATACTGAATGTTAATGCTTGGCTGGAGGCCCTCGAGCCATGTTCTTTCACGAACTTGCAACGAATTTGGTTAGAAATAAAAATAATACTCTCTTTTCTCTCGAATTCCCACATCACATGGCTCTATTCATCAGCAAGGTCTTCAGGTTCTTGCACTCCTCGACGTATTCACGATGATTTGAATGACGACTTGAATCCCCTTTCTAAAACCATCAAACCTTTTTGATCATAAATTCGATGCTTTCTTCAACAGGAAGATGGTAAGTGGATGTACACAGGAAGTGAAGATTTATCCGCAAGAATTTGGGACCTCAGGTAAAAAATCCACACTTCCTATTCAAACCCATCAAATCCCACCTGAAAATCTCACTCGATGCTATTCTTCCCGATAAAGAGCGAGTAATTTTCAATGCCAGAGGATATTCCAAGTATCAGCACCAGTGAACTGCGTCTCCCTCCACCCAAACCAATCAGAATTGATCGTAGGAGATCAGAGTGGAATCGTTCACCTCTGGGACTTGCGTTCAGACCACAACGAGCAGCTGGTGGGCATAACTCATCAAGATCATTTTCTCAGAATCCAAGACCGTTTAGAAAATCTCGAATTATCGTGAGCCCATTGATCCCTAGATTCCAGAAGCAGAGGCTTCCATCCAAGACATTGCGACAGACCCCGATGGCACGTATATGGCGGCAGTTAACAACAAAGGAAATTGCTACGTCTGGTCTCTCAGTGGTGGAGTGGGTGAGGAACCGACGAAACTCAATCCAAGGCACAAGATATCAGCTCACAAGAGATATGCATTGCGATGTAAATTCAGCCCCGATTCGACGTGAGCAACAGAACTTTCAAATATCTTTAGGGGAGGGTGGGCAATATGGACATCTGGTCTAAAATGAACAGTCGAAAAATTTGCGAAGAAATGTTTTTTTTTTCAAAATTCAAATTTTTGAAAATTGTTTCAGTAGGCGATATGAACGCCTGATGTAGCCGTATAGAAAGGACTAACATCGACGCTCAAAAATTTTTCAAAAAATTTTGAATAATCGAATTTTTAAAAATTGCTTCCTGGCAAAGTTCACAACCAAAAAATTATTCAAGGGTGGGGTAAAATGGACACCTGAAACAGTTGGTCCTATTCAACTTTGAATCATGAAAATTTTTAACAGACATTTTCCGACAGAATCGTGTCGGTATCTTTTTATAGAGAGAAATTAGAGCTGGAAGAGATATGAACAAATAATCTTCAACTCTATTAAATTTTGGATTGAAATATAAAACATAGAGTAGCTATGGATTTCCTGTTTTAGTATTGAAATAACTTTGAAATTATTTATTTTTTTCAATGAACAATTGCACGCCCTACAAAACTGACCTTTTGTCCACTTGCGAAATTTGTAAGATGGCTACTTTTCTACTTACAAAGGAAATCACCGTAAAACAATGGGGGGAGGGGAGGATAAATGAGCAAAGAAAAATTTAGTTTACCACCCCCCACGGCAAAAGTCAAAAATGAGTTTTTTATTTCAATTTGAAAATCGCAGTCATGACTAGTGTTTCAGAAATTGAATAACATTGTTGAAGCATAAAAAATTGAGGAAGAAATCCAAGTGTCCATTTTACCCCGTTTTTGCTTTACCTTACAACTCCTACGACGCAGTCTTATGACAATGTGTTCGTTTTTATAAACTTCAACTGAAGTCGGACCAGTAGATTTGATCCAATTCAACTCATTATTTAAATCTGGTGGCCATATTGCCCACCCTCCCCCCCAATCATTTAGAAGTTGAATCATTCAAGCTATCCTTTCAGACTGCTAGTGACCACATCAGCTGATCAAACAGCTAGGGTATGGAAAACAACGGATTTCTCGGAGATGCAAGTATTCCAGCACGAATCCAAGAGATGGGTTTGGGATGCAGCTTTTTCTGCTGATTCTCAATACATTTTTACAGGTAAAGCCCTCCTCCATCATTAATGTATAACATCCACTATGTTACTATTATTTAAATAGTAACATTGGTTGTTGAATTCATGAGAAAAATTAAATACCCTTCTTTTATCGAAAATGAAAGTGCCAATAAAAATGTCTTGATGTCTTCCTTCAAAATAATTCATTATCAAGACAATTTTGTATTGAATGAATGTAAAAAATCCTTTCATTCCAGCATCTTCTGATGGTGTTGCAAGACTCTGGAACGTCTCAAACGGAAAAATCGAGAGAGAATATCAAGGGCATCAAAAAGCCCTCACAGCACTAGCCTTCAGAGATCAAATTGTACCCTCCACTTGAAATATTACAATTAAAAAAAACTGATTCCTGTTTCAAACACAATTTCATATACTTTTTATTCAAATATAATAATTCTATTCAGTTAATCCATTCCTTCAGCTACTCCAGTACATCACAAGTATACGAAGACAATGAAATTCGTATATAAACATATGCTCACAGATAAACCCTAAAATTAAAACGATAATCGTTATGATTACGTCGAGTCATTAATTCTCTTAAGTACTGAAACATCAACGAAAAAGTACTTTTGATGGTTTTCGACTAGAACAACATCAACGAGAATGAAAATCATCTATTTTCCCCTTTAGAATAATTAATTGAAAAGTCTCTTTGATTGTTTAATCTTTTATCGTAAAATTCCTTTTAAGAGTGAAAAAAAAATTGCTCGAGTGGTTATTGACCCCTAGTTTCTAATGAAGAAAATAAAATGGGGTTTTTTAATTAAGATGTCAGGATGTTGTCGACTTCTCCCATTTCCGTGAAGGTTTCGTCCTCCATTGTGTAGCTCAGCATGAACTTTAGTGAGAGAGGCACCTGGGGGAAAGAGAAAAAATATTGAGGGAACTTTGCGTCATGAATTCTCAGCCAAAAGGGGATGGAAAAATCTGAAAGATGGTTGGAAAAATTTGTTCATTTTACAGAAACTGATTGGAGTGATTTGACGGTGATCTGATGAGGGCAAATAGTTTTAAGAGATATTTGAAAACACGAGGTGGAGGCGCCGCCATCTTTACAGTCCCTTGTGGCAGGGGGAAGGGGTATTTATAAAAGAAGATGGCGGCGCCCATACCAGTAATCGGAAACTTGCATGAATTTTTTTCAATTGTCTAATCTCAAGTTTGCGACCTGAATAATTCATTTTTCATTCATAAACGTTTGAAATATTGCTCATTAATTAATAATTAGTTGTTAAAAGTTGAAGATTTCAAACGCTTTGAAATCGCTAATGAAGTCACACAGACGATCGAGCGCTGGGCCAATCGCAGAATGGGTCCCAATCTTGAGATGCGCCTCGGCCAATGGAGGACGACAACTCCCCACCCTCTTGTTTTTCGACCAATGAAGCGCAACCTGACAGTCTTGGTGACGTCACGACCTAAAAATTGGCCTCGAAAACGACTGATTTTCAATGAATTATCATAAGACATCTGGGCAATATTTCTCCATAATTTTCATAATTAGGGGAATTAGAAAGAATTGAGCTTCATGCGTGTTCCCTATTCATTGTAATTAACTTTTGAAATCAATCGTACGGAATTTGAAATTACTCGTACCTTCTGTTGAATACAAAATAAATATCATCCAAAAATCTAAATTTCCTGATGTTTTTTATCAACCCCCCTCAAGAGGATTCCTCATCATTTCGTCTCCTAAAAATTCTTCTCACCTTCAGTGGATTAGCGATCATCATGATTTGCGTGATAGCAGCAGGTGGCAAAAAAACACTGAACCCGGGCAACTCAACGCCCGAGGGTGGTTGGAGCCTACACTTGCAGCTTTTAGGTACAACAGCTTGAAACAGATAGTCCCTCAATGCTTTACAATTTTTGCTCACAGTAGTGACAACAACAACAGTAACATCCTCCCTGGGTCCGCCCTCGGCAAAATGCAGAATCACAGATATTTCATTTTTATTATCAATAACAGTCACTGGAGGTACCTTGCTGGGTTTAACATCACTGAGTGTAACGTGCAACTCCCCCAGGGGTTTGATGTCCACCTCCCCCTCATTCCGATCAATCCCCCCACCAGTCTTGCCATTCTGACCACCCAGCACCATTTTCTCATCCTCCCCATCGTCCCCCCAGTTGACATTCCCCTGGCCATTTTTCCTGTCTTCACCCCCAGTTTCCTTGACCTGACCTATCAAAATCGTTTTGCTGTTATTTTTGTTCTTGTCCCCATCCTCAAGGGCACTTTCGTCTCCTAAGGACCCTTCGAACTCATCAACCAAGCTCTTCATCGTCCTGTTGCCCCCGAGGAGTGACTCCTGCAGCATGATCTTCCCCATTTCATTGAGTTCCTCCAGAGCCTTCGCCTTGCCGTCCACCTTCACCCCTGGACTCTTCTCCCCAGGCTCGCACTTCACCTTCTGCACACTCACAGGCTGAAGAACATTGACGTTATCCATCAGATTATCGAAGCTATCGGCGGAAACTTCGGGGACATTTGGTGTTGTCGAGATAGAGTTGAATATGTCCCCCAGCATCTCGATGTCACTGGGTCCAGTATATCTCTGATTGTCGTTGAGCAGGAGACAATTGCTGGAGGAGGGACTGGTGTCAGCTGGGGTGTCCAGGTCGAGAAGAGAAGTGCCATTGGCGTTGGACTCGTTGCTCTGGCTGAAAGTGGAGTTGAATTTATCGAACACGTGGGAGAGCTCGTCGTTGGCGGTCAGGACGTCACTCAGGATGTCGTCGTTGTCCTGGGTTTCCTCCGCCAGACGGAGGAGCGAGGGCTTGAGGCGCTGGCATGTCTGGTGGAGTTCCTTCATGAGATCGACGTCGTCAGGATTCGGCTCTGCTGGATTGTAATTGTCCAGCATCTCTGATAATAGCTTGACGTTATTGTGGACTGACTCCAGCTCGAGATTCCTCTGGGACTTCTGCTGAATCCTTCTCTCGTCGTCCTTCACCATGCTCTTGATGAGTTTGTTGGCAAGCTGGAGCTCGAAGGGATCCTTGCTCTGGAGGAGCTCCTGGAGGAGCTTCGCCGTTTCCTCGTCCTCGAAGAGGGCGTTTCCTACCTTTGGAGATTTTACCTGGGGGTGCGGCTGGTTCTGCGGAGTCTTGACGACCCCCTGGCTCTTCAGCATCTCGAAGGCCTCCTTGATCTTCGTCTCTCGCGGGTGGTCCTGCGTCCAGCTGTGCAGCAAGGAGAGAACTTTCTCACGGACTGGGGCGGGCGTCTTCGTGCCGAGGTACTTCGGGGACACTAGTTTTATCATCTCGTTGAGGAAACGAAATTTACCGACTTCTGAGTGGAAGAGACGACCACAACGCTTCATACAGGTGTCCAGGAGCTGGGGAGCATGAGAGATTGTTCATTATCTCATTGTTATTTGGAAATTCCTGTCGATTTGTTGCTTGGGAATTCAATGGTATTGAGTGAATTTTTAGACTATTGAGAAACAATGATTTCGGTAATTGGATGTCTTCAGGTAAATACTATTGCGAATCTTTTCCTTTGACAAGGGATTTTTTCGGCTTTTCTTGGGGGACTGATCGATGGTTATTCGATGGCAACTCAAAAGAAGGTTGACCTGAATGATCGATCACCCATTATGCGATAGATAGTCGATCGATGGTCAATCAATTATTCGATCGATCAATTATTACACATTGACCGATTACTGATCAATTAGTCGATCAATAATCGATTGGTCCATTCAGCGAGAGTCGATCAATGATCGATTATTGGTCGATCATTATTTTGTTGTCGATCAAATATATCACATATTGATCATCTCCATTCCTGATCGATTAGTTGATCAATGGTCGATTACTGATCGATTGTTAGACGATCGATAATCGATCAAATCACCCAATAGAGATGTGCGGATCGTAACTAGTCGTTACTTTTAATCCGTTACCTATTATTACTCCAACCCGAAAGTAACGAGTATCAAAATCGCAACGTATCCGGTATTTTTTGTAAACTTCTATTTTAGCTACCTGAAACCAAAGAATGTTTGAATTATGACGTTCCTCAATGCAAACTCCCAGTCCATGCTCTGAAAGCTCCAAAAGATGTAACAGAAAATTCTCTAACTGATATAAAATGTTTTTTTGCAAATAAAATTTTAACTGCGTCACTTTACCTCGTTTGATTCTTCTCGTTATTTAACTCTTATATTTTATTTCAATCATTGATAAAAAAAAAGTTACGAGTAACGAATATTCAGGAACGAATACTTTCTTAGATTGTAACGACTATTTTCGGGAAATAAAAGTAACGAGATTACACATCTCTATCACCCAATAATCGGCGGTTGATCACAAGTCAACCCCCTAAAAAATGATCTATCACAACTGTGATGAAAATATACATTTCCTAATCGCTCTACATTAGTGCTCCCTCTAACCAGAGGGTAAGCTCTACTGCAATTCAGAATCAAGTTGTCTAAGTAGACGAAGGGACCTAAGGATGACATCTTTATTATTTTTTTATTATTATTGTGGATAAATACTGTTATTTATTTATTGCAAAATTAGTTGCGAGGGATAAGAGGGAATGAAGGAATTGTCAGGATGTTATATTTTTGAATATTGTTGAGTCGAATGTAGGATTGTGTTGGTAATGAGTGTGAAGAGCTCCAAAAACACTTTCAGCATTGAATCTTACAGAGAGAGCCTGAAGAGCTTCATTCTCAGTGGCAGATTGAATATGAGTCGCAAGTAATTTGCACCCAATCTGCATGCCTCCAGTTTCTTTCATCACCATCACGCAGAAAGCATCAATAGCTGCCGTGTCCGGCTTCTCATTCTGAGGATTAATCGCTCTCTCTGCAAAAAAAAAATTAATGAGTAAAACACAAAAAATCTTCAAGAGTGATTGAAGATTTTGAATGAACTTTCTTTAATAATTAATATCTTCCGACCAAATGGTGCGATTTCGATGTATCATATCTCATTTTACAGCTTGGAAAAATAGCTTGAAAATGAGGAAAAAGTTGGGAAAGATCACTCTGCCAATTTTGAGCTACTGACGATTGAAGAATGTTCATTTCACACAAAAATTTTTGAGAAATATTTTTTTGAGGTGAAATGCACTTTTTTCAATCGTTAATACCTTCCGGTCAAATGGTGCGATTTGGATGGGTCATATCTCATTTTAAAGCTTGGAAAAGTAGCGTGAAAATGAGAGAAAAGTTAGGGAATTTCACTCTGGCAATTTCGAGTTACTGACGATCAAAGCCGGTGCATTTCATCAACTTCAAAAAGCACATGAATTTCAATGATTCAAAGCGACAAAAAAACATCTGTTCTGCCACCCCCTAGCCCCCAGGACTCAAAAACTTACGAAGAAGAGCCTCTAAGCTGGTCGTCACGACGTCCATCTTCAGGGACAACTCATTTAACCCCAGATATCAAAACTTTACGATTAACAACTCCACGAAATTCTTCACTCAGCGAACTTATCAACAATTCGGCGATAATTTTGACGGTGTCAGGTGACAACACGGTGTCAAAATCATCTCCGACAGTTCACAACATCCACTGGACTCCGGCGAAGATCATAATCCAGTTGTGGAGGCGATCACAACACTTCTCAGCTCGCGACCACAATTTTCATTCGATTTCACTGAGCCCTCACCAATTAATTAGTTGTAATTTGTTAATTCTTCGATTATTGACGGTATGCATATTGTTTTCTTATCGTATCAGCGCGACCTGAAGTTGCCCGGAGTTGCCTTCGAGACACCGAGACACGCCCATTCGAGCCCTAGAGGACTCTCATTCGTCCATTCCTCAATGCAACTGCTGGGATTGGTCGAGGAATTCCCAACAATTATCGGAATTTCTGCGATTCCAATAATATTTTGCCGAGTCTAAACATAACCTGCGTTACAAACATTTGAGGCGAATTCCTGGATGACCGGGGAACGAGTTTTTTTGTGAGAAAGGTGAGATAATTTTGGTTGAAATTAATTATTCCTTTTAGTGAGGTGGCGGGAGAGATGAGGGGATGATGGGGGAGGGGGGGGGATTA